TCGTGAACTGACAATTTAAACCATAAATTCGATCATTGATTTATATAAATTTTATATACGAGTAGCTTGCACGTATCGTAGCGCAGAGATGCTAGCAACTATATACTTCACTGTTGTTTGAAAAAAAGGAATTGTCTAGGAGCCGTCCCAAGAAGTTCGCTATCCATAAGGTTTATAAAAATTGCATATACTAGCTGCCCTGGCGAACTTCGAACCGCTTCAGAATGGATCCCAAGAAAACCTCAAAAAATCTTCAGTAGATAGATCCTTTAACAAGGCAACTAGCATGTTCGTTGTCAGTTCGTTGTTAATTCTAAAATCAAATTAATTTTGTTTTAAAAACATGAAATTCTTTTTACAAAGTCAGTCTATTGTTTATTAATTAGCTTTGTAATTTCATTAAATTTGAAAATTTTTCGTCATAATGTGTACTTTAAAAATACGTGTAATTATGGAACATGAGTTCCGTCGTGGCACCAACGCGGCACAAATAGCAGATATGTAAATGTTTAAGTAGAGAACTCTACAAACGAACGCACAATCGGTTGTTTGTTTGCTCAGTTCTGTTCTGGAACTGGACTTGAAAAATGAACCTCGTAGTCGTCCGGACTCTGCTCAACAATGATGAATTAAAGGCGATTGTGATAACTGATGATATTCAATCTACAGCCGCGATAAGCAGCAGCTTTTGATGTTAGCATCAAAACAATATTGGTCCATTTGCGACAAATTGGCTAAGTAAAAAAGTTGATGGGTGACCCATGAACTTATTATACATTTCATGACAATATACACATTTCGTTACAATTTTTCAGTACAGTTTTCTATGTCTTTTGTGCTCAACGAAAAATGAATGAATTTTGAACCGAATTGTTACGTGCGAAGAAAAATGGACATCTTTTCGACGGTCAAAAGCGTTCAGCAAATTGGTTAGATTCTGGTTCAGCACCAAAGCAATGCTCTAAAGGAAAATGACCTCAAGAAAGGTGAACTTTAATACCATACCATAAAGATTAAGTGTTAGTGGAGGGGTTCCGGGAAGGCAAAACAAGTGAGTGACTGTGGTAAAATGTCACTTGAAATGTAAACGTTTCTTTGCTGTACTTCGTAACATGCTGTACTACATAGTATAAAACAAAGTCGTCCCGCTGTCTGTCTGTCCCTATGTATGCTTAGATCTTTAAAACTACACAACGGATCTTGATGCGGTTTTTTTATTAGATAGAGTGATTCAAGAGAAGGTAATAAAAGATATATATTTCGAAGATATGTGAAGTCCGCCAATCCGCAGTGGGGCCGCGTGGTGGACTATGCCCTGATACCCTCTGTATAGAGGAGGCCTTTGCCCAGCAGTGGGACATGTATAGGCTGTCACTTTTTACTTTTACTACATAAAACAACCGTTGCGGCGTCTGACATTACTGCAACGGCTTGTCAACTACCGCGCTCAATGTCATTTTTAGGGCTTGTGCCGCTATAATTTGATACGCCGAAACCAGCGCATTGTATAAATTAGTATAGAACTATTTGAAATAGCAACAAAGTTCATTTTTATTTGAAGATAATTCAGTGATTTGTATATACGTCTGTGATTACTGTTAGTGTGTGACTTGTGGTACTATTTATTAACAATCACTTCTATGAACGTGCGACTTACATTTTTTATTTGCGTTCGCTTAATATATAGCATAATTATGACACTCACAAATAACGTCCCTTTCGATTGGTAAAATAATTTTCAAAATCGGTTTAGTAAATCCAAAAATTACCCCCTGTAACGTCACAAACTTTACCTATTAATAATATTAGTTTGATATGAAAGAAATTTTTAACAGAAATTTAGACAGTTTTGTTAGGGGCGAATGATTAATCCGACTAGACGTATAACAAAGTAATATAGGGCTGTCTTCGGCGAAAAGCACGAAATTGACTTGTGGATCGCTTGTGATGTCACTCGTGTCGTGAATAGAAAGAAAATAAATTAGTTATAAGTTATTAATAAAATCACATTATAAGAACACTTACAGTAATAGAAGGGTTTATAACCTTATCTACTATCACTTCTTGAACTCGTCCCTTCGATTTTCTACATATTTTAATCGTCCCATTTTCACTTTCCTTTTTCTTCACTTTGTTTGCGGGTCGGCTCTTTTTAAAGGCCGAATTTTTATCGTCTTTTTATCGCATGCAGTTCTACTTAGAATAATGGCCTAATTTTTTTTATGACGTGTAGTTTGTTGAACAACGTAGCTGGTGCACGACGACGACACGAAGACGCTGTCCGCTCCGCTGCACTCCCGCTGCACACCCGCTGCGCATACTGCTGTAGTTTGTCTAGATTTTACTAGATTTTTTTTTATAAATATATATAAATAGTTTAATATTAGTTGGCCGAATAATTTACCGGCAGGAAGATTTTTACTACGCTGAAAGTCTATTCTACAGTTAGACATGATCGCCTTTCTCTTCTCCGTTCAGTTCACTTCGATTCTCAGAGGGAGGGCACATAACAAGTTGTTTCTTCGAATCGAAATTTTTTCGACGGTTCGGTAATAATTCTCCCGAGTTTAACGAAACATGAAAATTAAAGTTTATACAAGCGCCATCTAATATATTGCGTTGAAACTTACTTAATCTAAACATTTTTTGCCTTGGTCGAGTTCTCGTGAAGAAGCTTTAAGAGCTAACTGATAGATGGCAACTACCTATGCAAATCAAATTGAGAGTTTCCACTTACCCATAAAACAGCAGCCAATAATTTTCACTTCAACAAATAACATTTCCGCCTTGTCATGGATTGCCAACTGCCTTTTATAATGGAAAAAATGGTATGTAAAAGCACGGACTTAAAAATAACAAAACTAGTGACACATATCGAAAATGTAGCATCGTACGATACGATCTATTCATAGATAAAATACTGTTATGGACTGGAAAGTCAAAGTTTTTTTTCAATAATGCGTAAAGTGACATCTAGATGCCAAGCAAGAAACTAAATTTGATGTGCTATACGTATAGCTATGTTTATCGATATTTTTTAATATTTTCTACATAGCTAGTTTAAATCACACACTAACAGTAATCACAGACGTTTAAGTCTTTTCAATTCCATTTGTTTATTTTGTGGACTGATATTCGAATGAAACTGAAATAAAATAGTGCAGGGTAATGTGTATTCAAATGTAGTGCTGTAGTGTTTTGAAGATTTAATTATTCAATTTATAATTTATAAGTCCAGCAAATTTCGAAGTTGATATTGCAATAAAAAAAATTTACGATAGAGAAAAATCAGTAATGAATTAATAAACAAGCAGAATTCTCCGATCGCTTAAAGTTTTCGAGGAAAAAAAAATATTGAATGAATGAATGAATGAAATACGCTTTATTGTACTCCATAAAGGTACAATTGGCGGCCTTATCGCTTAGGAGCGATTTCTTCCAGGCAACCATGTTACAGAGGAGACAATGATCAATGAGAAGGGTTTGAGATATACGCTATTGTTAATATGGGTATTATAGACTCATGTACACAACACTAATACATGTACACAAACAAATAAATAGAATAAATAAAGATATATATGAATAAATACATAGGTATATATTTATATATAAACAGAAAGGAACGGTAAGTGGACAAAAGCCATATAACGCATTGGAAATTTATTTTTAAATAAATTATGAGAAAAAAAAGATAAAAATCATAATACAGAGATAAAATGTTTAGGGAGGAAATAGTGAGCTTTGATGAGTCTTTTAAATAATTTTGCAATATTATTACTTTGACTTCAAAACTTGAATACACAGTACTGCCAAGATCGTAAATACCTATAGGAAGCGGGCGACGTCATACTCGTATCGATTATTCGATTTTTTTTAATTTAATAACATACTTATTTTTTTTTAATTTGGCAACTCGCGATTTATGAATATCTTATATCCATGACATGAATTCGTCGGAAATGAATAGTTTTTTTAATGTTTTTTTAAAAGGGAAATATTTCGTATTGAATTATACTAATAAAATCTTTAAAATCGGCAATTTTATACATATTTTCTTTTTAGTGGCTTCGAATTATAGGGCTGCGTTTCTTCCGCGCCTCCGGGCTCTAAAAACACTCTAGGGGTAGGCCAGACCCAGCCCTATAGTCCCGGGCTCTAGTCAAGGGCTAAGGTATCCCCTACCTGTCGTAAAAGGCGACTAAAAGGGGACACGGATGGGGCGCAGCACGAAGTGGTCTCGTGCTGCTGCAAGAGGGCGAGGGAGCCGGAGAAGGATTATCCTTCTCCAAGGCGTGCTCAGGCGTCGTACCGAGGGACACCGGTGCGTTCCATGGGAGATCCCGGAGTCCGTCCAAATGTACGGAATGTGGCCACTGATCGGGTTTTTGTGGGTAAGAACCCCACATAAGCCTCTCATGTAGGTTGACACGGCGTGTTGGGGTTGACAAAGTCGGTTCTGAATTCAAGTTCGTTGTAAGGCCATTTATCAAACCATCATCCGCTAGAAAAGATCTTCAGTCTTAAGGCGTGTTTTCTGCCGAATAAAATAACATAAAAGTCAAAAATAAGGTATTAATTGAATTTTCCCTTTACAGAGCCTACAATATATTACCGGCGGAGTGTCAAGATACTGCAAATTTTTTCTTACTTTTTCATAAGTTGTTTGATTCATTTATTGGTTTTTACTATGCTAATTCTAATCACGCGTGTTCGGTTTCGAATTTCGAATTCGAATTTCGCAAGAGTATCAAAATATTACATTCCTGAGGCTTGTGATACAATTAAAACTTCACTTTTATGTCTATTGATTTCAATTGAATGATACAACAAAGGATATTACAATGAAACATCAATTAGGAGTAATATATTTAATGATCAAATCCCAGCATCTACCACAATATATAGGAGGGCCGATTGCTGGATTCTACAGTCTACATATGAAATATAATACTAAGATATAGATATGAATAAATAGACGAGGTTTGACTGACAGTTTAGTCAACCTCATAGTCGCTTTCGAGGACTAGGCTGAAGTCGCTATCGTCGGAGTCGCTGTCAATTTCCATTTGGGCGAAACACATCACTACGTACAACGTTTCGTTGAACTCAGGTGACATGAGCGCATCCGCCATTAAACGCATATTTTGGGGAAACCTGCAAGTTTATAATGTCCATAAATTAATGTTCATAACGATGCTTCGTACATTTTTAATTATTGATTGAAATAATCTAACTATGCGATCGTGATCATTTGCGTGCTGTTGCGTGCGTCGAACTCACATACCACAAAAATGACAATTTATGGAATGCGTCACTTTATTCATCCAAGTTATTGAGGGTGGAGAATAGTAATTCCTCTCTTGTTAACGTCACAGTGTAAAGCGCTCTGGTTTACTCTTGCGTTTCTAGTGTAGTTTCAAGTGACTATCTTCTTCAGTAGCTAAGGATAGACTCGGTACGATATGTTCTAGGAACGATATGGGGTGCATTCCACTAAGCGTTCACAACGATAACGCTCACGGCCGCAGTTTTTCCTTTTACTGGTTACTGTCGTAAACTAAAGTGCAATGAATTATAGAGCTTTTTGAGCGTGGAGATAAATAATACAAACGGCGAGTTAAAAAAAAAGGAAGCAAAATATTGAAAAACATTGAATCAATCAAAATATTGAAAATATTGAAAATAACTGACTGCAAGAGGGGGAGGGAGCCGGAGAAGGTTTATCCTTCTCCAAGGCGTAACTGACTCTGCGTCGCCTATAGGTTGACTGGTAGAGAATGCCTTAGGCATTAAGTCCGCCTATACACAATACTATTTTTTTTTGTGTAAAAGTTTAAATAAATAAATAAAAATAAACTTAAATAATTATTGTTCAAATCGATTTATATTGAAAAAATTATAATTCAATTTTTTATATTTAATTTTAGTGGTGTATTTAATTTAATTGACGTTCAAATGTAATTAAAATGTCTCTTGCGGTAACACTTTGAATTTTGAAAATGCCGCTAATTTTCTCAACGATCACTTCGACCCACCTTTTTAGATGGGTCGCCGTGAGCTTCGCGTGAGCGTAAGTCATGACGTCATAAGTGACGTTTTGGCCGCGACCACAACGACCGCGGTCGTTATGTGGAACGACTAAAGGAGCATTTTGATCGTTGTGGACGCTTAGTGGAACGCACCGGTGATAGGCATAAATGATGATACTGTCACATCATTGCACAAAATTTCTTTATTGAATCTGTTTTCTCTTGATAAGAGTTTGTAAATAAAAACGTTATTAGTTATTATCGTACAATTTAAAATGCCTTCTATTTTGCATCAGCATAATTCCTTTATTTAGTGTTGCTATTTTTTCTAGATAGGCGCTAAAATTATAAGGAATATATTTCAACCTCAATTTATAGTATTTATATAAAATACTTTAGAAAATCCAACTATTAAAATATTATTTTATAATTTAAGCGCAAGGTTAATTCGCAAAACTGTGATTTTAATTACCGTCTCTACATTATTTTCTTCGATGAAAGCGAAGTTGATTGAAATAAAGAAAAAAATATAAGTATTTGAATTTTATAAGGGAAATTTATAATATTTAAGATTTTATAAGGGACGTAATATGGTGTTTAACCAAAAAAAAAACATTATGGATTAATATATACTGTAGTATTTTTATTCCATTCTAAAATGAGACAATAGTCAATGAATATCATATTTTGAGAAGAAATAACGGTTTCTTTTAATAGCAAGTGAACCGTGGCGTAGAAAACTGTTGCTCACAATATGAAGGCGTTCCCGGCGTACAATTCATCGACTGAAATAAATAAAACCACAATCTTTACTTTGTTCTATCTCTGAGTCAAAACTGATACATGACTGAAATAGCATTACATTTACATACAATGTTTCAAAATATTGTGCAGTGTTGTACCTACGATATCAGTTTGATGAATCGTAACTTTTTATCTGTATTCAACCTGGATGCATTTTAAAAAAATCATGATTAATTATGATAAAATGACGATTCTGCGTTGACTGAATAAATGCGAAAATTTTAGATTTTGAATATGGCAACCCTAATTTTACACACTGGACGCCATTTTGTTTACCTTAGTCGCCCTTCAACGTCTGAAATATTCGAATGCGTTCATTATGTCTACTGTCAATGATACAAAAACGAGACTAGCGAGATATGACATTAGCGCACCGAAACTGAGGCACTCAAGTTATGGCAATTGGTGTAATTAGATTGCAATTACATACACTACTATCTCTTTTCGTATCATACTTTCTAAATCATCTGTAACATTCACTTCGACATGTCATATAATGTAAAGCGGAACAATTTTTAAACGCCGCGCAGTATGGACATGCGTCATCTATATTATTAAACACCGTCTATTGCGAAAGAAAAAAGTGTTATATATTGCTTGGTTTATATTCTTATATGGTCTTGGTTTATATTAATTTTTTTGATAGGTTTTGTAGTTTTGTGTTTTCGCTAAGCAATTCATGATTTATGCACAGACTTCAACGCGTAGGCGTGATTAAAATGTATTGCCAAGAATATTTTTTTTCTTATCGCTAATATCATTCGCCAAACGGAAAAAGATATGCTAATAAATATACTAAATAATTCATGAATGCTAATAAATATACATATACATTAAAATATTTGTTACGAGACGCCTAAAAAACGAATGTAAGTACTGCCGAAACCCTTAACATTCACTCTACAGGGTGCTGAAGAAGCACAAAGAGAATAAAACTTTTAGTTATATAAATAAATACCAGACCTTAAGTCAAATTTCAAAGATAAATTTGATGATTTCACATAACTTCCGTCATTTTCAAAAAGTACGATATATTAAAACACCGTTTTTAAGTAGCAACATTTTCTGTTCATGTACCTAACATGAACAGAAAATGTTGCAGCAGTGTATTAATGATTTAATGATAAATTTACCTGAGATGACATAATTTTATGAAATAATCAATATTTACAAAAATAACGCAGCAAGTTCGCTTTATATATAAAAGTAATACTATATAGAGGGTATCAGGGCATAGTCCACCGCGCGGCCCCACTGCGGATTGGCGGACTTCACATACCTTCGAAATATTTTTTTTTGTTATTATTTCGAAAATATGCAGGTTTCCTCACGATGTTTTCCTTCACCGCGGAGCACGTGATAAGTCAGCACTTAAAGTTAAAAACTTCATTGGTGCCGGCACCGGGGATCGAACTCAGGTTGCTCGAGTATATTGAATTAAAGGCGAGCGCCCGGACACTGAGCTATCACGACTCTATCACGACGGCTTTATATATAATCAAGATTAAACGAATATTAATGAAGGTTGGTGCTAACATTTGCATTTACTTGTTTATCGAGACTAACATATTTATAATTAGTTTTTGTTATCACCGTCACGTCAGGCATAATTTAGAAGGCCTGGCCACTGAATTAAATGGGCCTTCAGGCATGGGGACACGATTTTTTAAATATATAATCCTCCATATACACAAGGAAACTAGAATAGTTACCTTCTATTTGGCGAAAGATGTAATTTCAAGATTGGCTGAGATCAAAAAAATAATTCAAAAAAACGCAAACGAATTAAATATGCAGCCTTTTTGATGACCGAATTAGTCCAAATTACGTTGTAGCGGTGGAAAAACTGTGTAGAAACACCCATTGAAGATATAGCATTAGGGCACGCAAAATGGTAATGTAAAATAATTTATCATTTTACTTCGGTTCAAGAAATGCATTTTACTACATAGAAGCGACCATGCGACATAAAAATAATGAACACTTTTTATATCATCATGGCCGTACGAATTTATGTTAGGATTGTTAATTATGAAGTACCGGCACCTTTCTACACTCTGACAGGTGACCAATATACAGAAATTGTTACAGATTCACTGGCTATTATATTGAAATAAACGTTTTTTTCATAATATACGTACTTAAAGTGGTGGAGTTTGTAGTTGGTGGACACCTTTGTGTACCCCGGCAGATCGATGGTATCGCGTACCATGGGGATTGGGTCCGACAAGCGGGTCATCTGTATAGATGGCACAGGCTAAAAAAATACAAACAGATTAAAAAGTTCGCTCATGAAACAGATTGTCGTCTAACGATAATCGATGAGCTAAGTATTAGTAACGTACCCCGTCTACGAGCAATTCGGATATGGTTTTTATAACGCAGCAATGCCTCTGCACTTGAGTGGGCAGGCAACGGATCATGCTACTGTTGCGCTTACGCAGCTTATCAACTCTCTCCTAAAAATACACAAACCACTTTAAAAACCATAGAAGTCGAAGTTATTAAGTTCTACGAATAGTTAAATATTACACATTTCACTTTTTACTAATATTATAAACGGGCAAGTTTCTTTATATGGATGGATGTTTGTTACGCTTTCACGCAAATATTAAATGGATTCAAATGAAAGTTTACAATAATACAGCTTATAAATGAGAATAGGACATAGGCTATAATTTATATACATATTTTTATGTATATCTGTCTTTCTGTCTGAATGTTACGCATTCAACCTATTTTACGCAGACGTAGTCGCAGGAAGCAGCTAGTTCTTTATTACATATACTGTCACATTTAAGTCGAATAATGTGCGCGCAAAACTCGAATGTACGTATCTCGAAGTTGGTCAGTCACACTATGCAGAGTACCCTGTTTATCACGTGCGGCTGGGCTTTCTAGATAATTTTCAAATATTTTATTATATATTTATTATATAATATAATATTTTATTATATATAATTTAAACATTACTGCACTAAATCATTAGCTTTCTCATATACAATGTAAAACCCCGGCGAAATACATGCGACGCTACGGGGCGATTGTAGCGTCATCTTATTCTCCCAAAAGTCCATCGCCATCTCTATTTCAGTCAATCTCTATCTCCGTCTATTTCTATATAACTCCATCACACACTGGAGTTTTGTCGCGGGTGCACTTTGGATTTCGTTTCATCAATATGGAACATTGGCTTTTAAGGCAATTTATGGTCGTATTGAGCCATGTTTCGATTTAGGCCCTCGGCGGTGCATGACCTTCGAGCTTTGCGCGCACACAGCGAGTAATGTTTGCATTCGGCACGTTGTCAATTCGATCGATGGGCACCTGCATCTCCGGATCCGCGTCGTACTTGCGGACCACATCGAACAGGTTCTTAATCAGCCACTGCAAAGGCTGGGTATCGCGCCACCTGCCCTTAGCGAGGCGGGCGTAGAGGGAGAACAGATCCTTCACCCTCTTCGCGCACCCCCTGTATAAGAAAAATTCGTAGTGCAGCTGCTAGACAATCAAAAAAAATCTACTAGACAGATACTTAACGGCAGACGAAATAAAAATTCGTAAGTACTTCTTTTTACGTCGGCCTTATATGAGACCGTGACGTCCCCCAGGCCGATTAGGTACATCACTACCAGTATCGTAATGGATGAACTATTGTATTGAACAGCAATATCAGCGAACCCGGAACAATTCAAAAACTTAAATCTAACCGATAGCTGCGCAGGCACTGATACGACACGCTTCCTATAAGACGATACGCTTGATGATAGGTGATTACAGCCCACACCTGTGCGGCTGCGATTACCCCGCCATCATTTAAAAGCACTGGCCGTGGCCACCAAAATCACCGGGTGAAAGGCTGAAGTATCCATACTGCTACTCTACTAAAGTCTTCGGTCTAACGCCGGTCATCGTAGAAATTAACCGATCATTAAGATCATTCTGATCAATTCAATTAGTTAAACCGTGAGTTTAGCAACTCGGGTGACGTTTGACCAGCCATTTGACAGCTGCTTAGTTAATTTCTACGACGATCAGAGTTTCAGAAAACGGGCGCGAGTCTCCGTTTGCTCCGTGGTGAATTCATTTTGGAGAAACTTTTGCGTGGCTATGCCGCAGCGAACACACACTCACAGGCCATGCGGCGACGACACTTCGAACAGGCGATGGGAGGAGATGCGAGCGGCGTCCCCCTCGCTCGCCAGTTCCACGAGGTTGAACGCCACCACCGGGAAGTTCATTATGGCCTCCTGCAGCATCTCCTCCGCCTTGCTCTCCTCGAACCCCTCTACAAATACAAGAAGACATTTCGCCAGGGACCGTCCGGTTGCCCGTTGAAAGGGTCTTTGAAGGGGTTTTCTTAAGCGCTTAAAAAGCCTACGTTATGTATGTTACGACACACAGCTCGAAAGGGTGCATGTAATCCATTCCGAACAGCTTAACCTTTAAATACCCTGTAACACTGTAATAGGGTTAGTCATTCCAACTTAAGACATTGTAATATGCACTCTTCGTCATGGATATTAGTTTTAAAGAGGCATAACGCATTTTACCACCCGGCGGCGCCTTTGGTTGCATATTCCGAGCGATTTGGAATTATGATTACTGTCAATTTAATCTCACGGTTTACTTTTTCTTGTCCCACATGCTACACATTGTAGTATTACTTTTTTCGTGTCTATACCATTTATATTAAATTATTTTTTCTATGAAAATGCCACAGCAAAACATTATTTAATAAAAATAATCAAATTTCAGATTATTAACTTATCTCAACTCAGTATTTTAAATAACTATCACCTACATGTGTTTGTCATCATAATTATTAGATCGCTTATCTATCGTCTTTTGTTGTCAAATTCGTGAAAACAAAATAAAAATACCTAATAAGACAATGAGGCGCCGCGCAGTACAATATTCCCTCACCTACATGCAGTTCAATATTATTACATATTTCAGGGTAACAACAAAAAAAGCTCTTCGTGAAGGTAACCTCTTCAAAGGCTTAAATCGTTAAAGGGGCTAACCCCTTCACGTTACCATAATATAGGTGTTAACAATTTCGGTGGGTTTTGTGGATGCAACTCTGCAATACGGGTCACCTCATGTACGGGTTATCCTATCAATCTTAACTCTAAAGCGGGGCTTTCCGGTCCTCGCATCTTGCCTAATAAAAATAGGGGAACAAGCATTTTTAGAACAATTTCAATTTTAACGATATTATAGATTTCGAATGTCGCGGTGTTGACTTCCGTGAACACAGCAATGTAGACTCGTCTAGTTGTCATTCAGTCTAGTTCAGAATTGGGCAAAAAATATCGATATTTTTCCATACATATATATTGTCGATATTTTTATCACGATATATCGACATTCAATATTTATTTTAAGCTATCGAATTCGTGTCAATTTCGATATATTTTAAGCAACTCTGGTTTCGTGGTTAATGCTATTAGATACTCTTCACATACTCCTCGTGCATCGTTAACTTTAAAAACCTCTTTTCAACTATTTTATTCATGTCTATTCTATTTTACGAATGTTTTGAAAACTATGTATAAATAACATATCATAGGAAAAATGACGATATGTCGTTATTTTTCGCTCGATAATTATCGATAATTTTTTAAATTTTCGATACGATACATCTCATCGACATTTTTACTTGCCCACCCCTAGTTTAGTTAGTTTAAAAGGACACCGGTGTGGCGTTACGGTGAGAGAAGCCGGTCGGACTCGCCTTTGCCCTGACGGGCGAGGTGGTAGTACGCCAGCGCGTAGGAGTACTGCATGTTGAACATGTCCCCGGCGCCCCTCTCGCCGCGCCAGAAGTCGATGGCCTTGATCAGCCACTCGAACTCGCGCGCCCTGATGGCCAGCACGTCGATGACGAAGATCACGGCCAGCGGGTCGGTGGGGTCCAGGTTCATGAGCATCTTGGCCAGCTCCAGGGCGGTGCGGTGGCACGCGCGGTTCGACAACATGTGGATGTACTTGAGCACCGCCACGTAGAACGCGCGGTTCTCGATGTACTTGTACTCGAGTCTGGTACTCATCTGCAATCGGAAGGCGAAATCACTCGGGAACCTAATAGCCCGCGTAACGGGCTAACGGTGGCAGGTTCGCCGCTCCGCTAGTGTTAAATTAATATGCTCTATATCAAGCGCACAAGCTTTTATTAATATTGTAATGGTAGTTTTCACTTACATCACCCAAATGGAACAGCGGGTGGAAGGCGCACTCCATCTGGTAAATGATCTTCTCAATCATATTGCCACCAAGGGAATATTGCTCCTTGAGAAAGATGTAATCAGCCATCTGAAAAATAAGGTATCGGTCAGTGAAATTACCAAAGTCATCTGAAAAATAAGGTATCAATAGATTTAGTCAATTTTAAAGTTGGAGTTAAAGAGGGTTAAACATTTTGGTTATCCCCCCAGAACGGTCAAGGTATTTATCCTGACTGAACTGAAATTAAGTGATTAACCAAAAATTTTATATTTGCCAAGCGTCTGATGAATACAAAACTAAATTACCTCCAACTGCGCTTCAACGTGCTTGTATTTTTCACCAAGCTTAAGAAACATCGGGTCTATGAACCTGCACAAATAACAAAAAAAAATGTGTTCAATAATTTCACTATTGATAAATAAATACAATTTTAAGTTTGACATAACATGAACCATAAATTCCATTATCATGAAAGTCTGATTATTCGGCACGATTGGTTTAGTATTAGGCAGAAAATTAACAATAACATTCGAATTGGGAGCGAAACCTTTTCACCGCGAAGCACTATTCTTATTAGGACCGTAAAGATACAAGGGCAAGACAAAATTGCTTGGACTAGTCTTAGACTCGTCTTATTAAGCTTAGTGAATTTGTGATAACAAACCGGTGGTCGGTGGCCTTCAAAAACTCGATATGGGCCTCGCGATAGTGACGGCTGTGCCTAAAGGAAAAGTAGGTGGCGTCATCCGTACGCTCCATCAGCACCATCGACAGTCCCGCTGCGAAGCAAAACCCCGATTGACAACACCGCAACGACACCGTCTTGCGCACAATATAGTGCGCGCAAAACTTAAATGCGCCTCTTAAATAAAGAGGCAAATGGCGAGCCTTTTAATACAATGCAGTTACTTAAAACTATAGATCAGTATTTGAATCAAGTACTGGCCAGTTTTCGTTTGCCTTCCCATCTGATTGTGAGTAGTGATGTAATGATAAGTGATAGGGAGTAGTGCAGTAAAAAACCTATTCGCACATGCGCCAAACGCGTGCAGATGGAATCGCTCGAAAGCATTCAAATTTTGCGCGGTCTACACAAACTCACAGACACAAAACCAAACGAACACTTTTATCAAAAATAAATTTTTAATCACTTCTTACAATCGATAATCGATCGGGCGTTGGCATACATATCTTATTGTATAAAAAGGAAACAAAAAAGAATGTATAATCCGTAAAATAGTGAAATGTTCGAGTTATATAATTTACAAAAAAAAACAAAAGTAGCGTGCCATTCTAAAGACTCCTTAGGACCAAAGAAAATAATTTGTTAACTTTTATTTTATGGCCTTTGAGTGTGTTATGTATTTTCCATTACTGCTAGCAGCAATAAATGATGTAAAATTAAAGTTAGTAAACGTCCATATAGGTACGTGTTATGTTCTTGGTAGCGTCAGCCGTAGACAAGCTAAAGCGTACTACGGCGTAGCTGGGCTACTTCTACATCTCGTAACGTAATTTAAGCAGAGACGTAAGTCAGATCAAAAGTAATCAATAATGATGAGAAGGGTAATGGTAGAACAAAACGAATGACGAATACGATAACTTCGACGTAATTTATATCGTGACTCTATTTGCCAAGTTTGCTCAGAAACTACACACCTTCTACTTAGCTTTAATCACTACGTGTTTATTTCTGTGTTTATAATTATTAAAGTGCCAAACAATATTCGCACAGTGATCGGTTAAGTCTTTTAGATGCAAACCTTTCTGTTTTTGAAAACTCGAACGAATACATCGAACTTTCATATCAGAAATTATTTATTCGGAGATTTGGTTATAATTACGAGTCCATCGCCGAAGTAAGCTCGAAGATAATTTGTTAATTAAAATATCGTGCACAGCTTTACCGCAGAATTTAGTAGTAACAAATCTCAGATCAAGCTTTCAGATAAACTAATATAGATATATAAGTTTATTGCTAAATGTGGCAAATTCGTTCGTAGGTTTTGTGAATAGTCCATGGCCTAAATAAACATGGAAATTAGTTGAGAATTAAAATATCGAGCACTATTGGTTTTATCACTGATTTCAATAATAACAACCGGTTTTCAGATAGCCGGAAAGGTTAAATATACATATTTATTAATATTATACATATAATAAACTAATAAGTCGTTAATTAAATAAAATTTTATTTCCAAAATAAGTTATAAGTTAATCAGAAACTTCAGTTCCTACGACATTCGCAACCACGGTTTCATTCGGCTAATCAGAATGCAATAATGATTTTTAAAAGTACATTACAGATAGGGTTGCCAACTTTATAGTAACGTATCCTACTTTATTTTTGGTAAATATACTTTAAACTTTAGCATTTTAATAAAGTAATGGAAAATACTCTATTATAAATCTCTACTCTAAAGCATAAAAAAACAGTAACAGTGTATTTACCTATATGGATAAGTATTGAATTTCTATGTATACTTCTAAGTTCAAACAGAACACTTTCAGGTTAGCTTTAGCGGGTAATAATATAATACTAGAGACCCGCCCAGGCGTCGCACGGGTTTAATGTATTATACATATAAACCTTCCTCTTGAATCACTCATCTAGTAAAAAAAATGTATCAAGATCGTAGTTTTACAAATCTAAGCATACATAGGGACACACAGACAGCGGGACGACTTAGTTTTATACTGTGTAGTGATGATTTTTATTTTCATCCCAAGATTTTTTTTAACTTATAAGATATTTGTCATTTGATATTATATTTGTGCTACTGTGTATTACTTTTTTAATTTAAATTGGGAATGTAAAGGTAGCTCCCAAAAATTTGAGTATAGTGAAAAACTGCGTGTGTGCTAGAAGCATTCAAAAATACATCTTCAAAAGGAGAAGCAAATAAATTTCGAATAATACTGTACTTTTCTTCTTTATACTTAATTTTTTCTCTTTTTTTATGTCACAAAGAGGCAAACGAGCAGGCGGTGCACCTGATGTTAAGTGATATCCGCCGCCCATGGAGATTTGCAACACCCGTAGGGTTGCAGATGCGTTGTCACCTTTTAATACAGTGGGCCCCTGCTACCTCACTCACCAGACGGAATACAGAAGTGTAACACTTCTACTTCACGCCGGTCTTCTGTGAGGTCATGGAACTTACCTGGACGGACCTACCCATTCGTGCGACAACTAACACGTGGTCCTTCCACAGTATAAAGCTCTCTACTTGATACAAGTGATACTTTATTTTTCACGAAAACAGTTGGCAACCCTAAATACAGGCGTCAAGCTGGCCGCTACTTACGATCGTAATTACCTACATTACCCTAGATTCTTGATGTTTGTTACGCAAACCTCCCGCAGGAACCGTGTCTACCCTGGAAGCGTATTACAAGCAAATTTATTTACATCTTGAAATCTCCCCACACAAAGCTAAATTGGGGATTGCGTCGCGAATAAAATTTCTTTTGATTTCCGATGCTTCAAATACATTACAGAGTCCGACAGAACAGAAGGGCACATCTGCCGCAAGCATTTTGGTGTATTTCTCTTTGGTGCGTACTATGCGAAGGAATTATTTTCTATTTGACGTATTCATTGAAGCAGTCAATATATGACAAATCCAGAGAACGCAAACAAAACATGGAAACATTATTGTCGCTCCAAAATGTTGTAACGGAAACTGTAACGTGATGGGCGGGGCTTATAAAATGTAATACGAACCGGTTTCACGGGATGACATTATGCCACATGAATTCATTTAATCAAAGATTTTCAATTTATACATTTGGTAACGCTACTTTACATTTGATATTTTTGTTTTATATTTGAATTTAAAGAGAACTCACAAATTAACAAATTAATAAGCCTTATAACTTAATGTGCGTTTCGTTTTGTTTGCTTTTCTATTAAGATCCCTAAATGAAGAGAACAATGGATGAATAAAATTGGGAGTCACAAAAGTGATCGGTCGCTTATAAAGACTTAAAAATATGCTCAAAAGCTTAGAACTACATTGGTGTTGAGACATATTGAAAACCGTTGAAAAAATTAATCTTGTTGCTCACACTAGGCGACGCCTGTATCGTGAACATCGGATATAAAAATAGGCAAACTGCTTATACATTTTTTGGATGCATCGATTTTTATGTTGTGTATGATGTTATGTCCAATTCTAATACAATGTGTCCTTCAAAAAGATAGATTATTTGGCGAAAATGTATTGTAATATATCAATTAGATAATTGAAATATATTATAATACGTTTTCGCCCGGCCAAGCTGACAAACAAGCCGCGTATCTTGTATTGTTTATTTTTTAGTACCTGGAGGACTGTTTTTTTGGTATATCACAAAAGAAAGAACTTTAAAAAAATAACAAAATCATCGACATCGATCATCGGATCGACAAAAAGTAAAAAATAATGAAAGCAATGATCTGTAACCTAAAAAAAAGTAAAATAAATAAGTGTGTAAATGATAAAAGGGCATTTTCTATAAATGAATCCTAGCTAGATCGATTTTTCGCCTCCGAATCTACGCATATACTAAATATCATGAAAATCGCTGGTGCCGTTTCGGAGATTCCAATTATATATATATATATATATAGATATAGTTAGATAGATATATGAGCAATATATGTGAAAAAACACAATTTTACACTTAAAAGAAATTTCGCCCCCTCGTTAGTTGACGCTATATAACATTACCCAAATAAAAATAAGAGTACTGAATAACTTTACCGACAAGACACTATAACAAAAAAAATCGCTCAATAGATCATAATAATTTATGAATAATGATAATGGATTGACCATAATTTATGAAAATAAGCTTTTTACTGGTTCGTATCTTTGTTCGATTTGTATTAGCTTTTTATTGCTTGTACTAATAATTAATATGTTTAAGTGATGTGATTTATTAATATCAGATATTTAAAACACGTTGTGCTGATAATAACATCATCACCATTTAAAAAGAAGCAAAGATAAGGAAAAGAAAGAAAAAGATATATGCTATATATCTTAATGTTAAAACGTTAAAAACATGTTAAATAACATTGTTAATAAAAATTGAAACCAATTAGAAACTTAGTCGGCAGCAGAGATTCGGAACTAAGATAAAGTTTTATTGTTCGAAGACCAATTTATCGATAAGGAAACCACAAGCAAATGAACAAATACTGACGAAGGACTATGGAATCTATAAATCTATATTTATAAATTTCTATATAATGAATAATTTTTGTATTATTAAGGTTTGTGTTAACCAATGAATGTTACAGTCTATGTAAATTATAACGAAAATATTCTATAGTATAGGTGATAAACGCTTTTTATAACAGTTCTATTATCATACTTACCGACAGGGGTGACCGATAAATTCGGAATGATCACTTGTCTCTGGATGCGGCGCAGGTTAGGCACACGGCCACGGCCGCTAGTAACAAAAAACATTCAATGAAATACTTTCGTCGACATCGTTGTCACAAATGCGATTGCTATTGATTTCACATTTTTTTACTAATATCTTGCATTTTTTTGTTAAGACTATATATCTACTTACAATAGGTGGATTTAGTCTTTACAATAGATTAAGAGTGAGTTATACTAGGTAAAATCGAGTGCCCGTTACAGTTCCTGTTATTTGGCCATAATTATGTATGTGTATATAACAGCCTGGTATTAAATACTATGTTGCGACAAACAGTTTGTGTACCCTGTTATCATACCACAGTTAGTTACCACAGTGTAACCTATGTATATAGGTTACATTATGGTATGATACGATGGTATATTGTAACAGCTTTTTTCGTTAGTTGCTTGTGTACAATGTCCGCAAGGAACGCAGTCACAGGACAAGAAGTTATCATTATAGTTGAAATGCCATAAAATCTTTTAAAAAAAATTAATTATGGTTGGTGCATGTCCGTAATTCTCTTGCTAACAAAGCTATATGAAATAAGCAAGAAGAAGAAAGACCTTGCGACAGTGACAGAACGTTCAGTAACAAACGTAACAGTTTTTATCTCTTTCTAACTAATGTCACAGTCTTATGCATGTATAGAGAACTGAGAGAGGCTTCTGACGCATTAAAGAACATATTTTGTGGGACGAGATGCATTATTTACGTTTGTTCGTAACTGGTACAGTTTTTAATTTTAAGTTACCTGTTATCGTCACGTAATCCTAATCCTCACTCTTAATCTAATAAAAAGTAAAGTAACAGTATGGTATAGAACTATTTTAATTTAAAAAACCTATTTTCTTTTAAATTTAAAATGGTTATATAAGACACGTTTAATATATGCGACATATTTTTAAACTGGTAAAAGAATTGGAATGACATCAGCGCTAAGACTAAAAGAATCAAAGAACATTTTATGATCTATTATGCAGTCCATTCATTCAGTAGAAATAATTAAAAATTCCATCCTCACTTCACTAAAGTAAGTTACATTAATACGTTTCGAATATCTTAATTGAAGAGCGTTACAACAAAAAACAATAAATTACATTTTAACAGTTATTAAGTATGGCAATTGGCACTTTACGTACATATCTAGTATAAAATCTATTCATATACGAATAAATCGTCTTTAAAAAATTTTTCTAAAAAAAATTTTTAAAAAACTATTCTGAACCGATATCGAATTGTTTCATGATTGGAACATACTCCGACAAATCCTTAAAATTTACATGGGTACATATTCAAAGATTTATACGACATATGGGAAGTTTTATTAATGGTTCAATTAGAGATCATTAGAGATTAAAGAAAGTCATACATCCAGAAATGTTTTATAAAAAACTAAAAGGATTGCGAAATTTAAAACGGATAAATCTAAAAAAAGTATGATGTTACTACAAGGACATGTCATCGGTCTGATTGAAAACCGATAAATCCATTTTTTTTAATTTCTTATCACTTATTGCACACAGAAACCCATAGTAGACTTATGATTTCCCGAAAGAAATTAACTAATAATACATCGATTTTTATTCCTCAATTAGAGTACAACTTCCAACTTTATTACTAGAAAGAACCAGGTTTTTTTTTTGTTATCTATCACAAAGGCCATCTTAGCGATGGATGGCCGCCGAGCAGAAACTCACCGTCCCCTATCTTCGGGGTCTGCGCCAAACATTCTCATTAGCTCAACAGAGACGTTCAGATGCTGCACATCCACTTTGCGGATGTCTTCCTTCTTTTTTTCCACCACCACTACGGGGGACGCCGGTGGAGGGGTCCCCAACAGGGCATTCACTTCCTTCACCGACTGGTCTATTTCGTCCAGCTAAAAAATAATACACTTCTACAATGCTTTAACACTAAACTTGTGACCGGTCACGAAATTACAACTTTTGTATCCGAACTGGCCCTATTGAATAGATCTATTTTAAGAAAAAAAAACCAAAGCAAGCATTGTTCATTTTGTAATATGTAGTAAGTATAGTTCATGCAATGCGGAAAAGCTTTAATGATAAACTTCAACACTCAGTGATAGTATCAATAAACGTTATGGAGATGGTTTGATTCTGCCACTAGGATTTACTACTGCTTCTCTGACGGTTGACGGAGTGGATAGAATCATAATTTTACGTAGTACCAATTGAGATACTGGACTTTGACATTTTGGTAGCTCAACCATATGGTTGAGGTGCCAGTATATACTGGGTCACCTCACATAGTGATTATTTAGATATCAACACGGCTTAATCTATATGACAAAGAAATATCTTTACACATCGCAGAGCTAAGTGAAAATTTAAAGAAACTTCGTTTATAACCATACGAGGATACAAAGTTAAAATCTTGACTGAAAAAATTGTTTTGCAGGTTGTTGTCAGAACTGAGCCTGTTACAAGTGGTATTATGAAAGTGCAGCACAGATGTGTTGAGTCAAGTAGTTGAAAGTTAGGATGGTACAACAGTGATTTAACTTATTGATAAAACGATATATCCAAAATAGGTGAACAGTTAACCGTAAGTAAGAAAGGCTCTCTTGCTTCTCTTTTGAACGAGTTTGATGGTTGTTTCTCAGGAAAAGGCATGAAGTTAGGTGTCTATGACATTGAGACGACGATTAAATTGACTGGAATAAAGTGAAATTACAAACCTTAAAGAATGCCCTACCATGAAAGAGAATTAGTCGGAAAATTTTTGCTGGGTTGTTTGAAGCTGTAACAATAGAGGAGTAAACGTCGACCTATGTTAGTCCGATCCTGTTAGTTAAAAATAATGGGGGTGGATTCCGGCTGCGTATCGACTGCCGAGCTCTTGATAAAGTAACAAAGAAAGAGAGACGAACGCTTGACGTTCATCGATATTTGTTTATAAAATAAAGTCGTTTCAGGAATAACGTGGTCAGTCACCTCTTCGGTATCCGCTGCATAGGCTGTAGCGCGGCGGCGGGCCTTATTATTTTTGCGTGCCTTCTTCTTCTTCTCCTTAATTCTCGGGGCTTTGGCGCCACATTCCGAATCGCTGGACTCGGACTTCTCTTCAGCCGATTCGGAATTTGAGCTCAAGGAGAACTAAAAGGTATCATAAAATTGGTGGAATCGGAACAGAATATTGCAAATAGATTTTCAGTAATCATAAAATTTTACAATAAAATCTCATACAATTCTTATTTTAAAAAATATTAATAAAAAGAATATTAATATTCTTATTTTTTTAAGAATGAAACATTTTTTCATATATAGTTTCATATTTTCCTCATTTTGAAAATTTTTTCGCAAAGCAGAACGATGATTCTTTTTTTTATAATTTAATAATATCATAAATATATCAAGGAAATTATATTAAAATTAACAAATAAATGTTAATAAAGACTTATATTACATATTGGTTAATAAATTACATATTTATATATATATATATATATATATATATATATATATATATAATACGGTAATAAGTGAATATAAATTAAAACATATATTTAATCCTATAATTCGAATAAAGCAAATCTGATTTTTTTTTTGAAACATCATCAACTATTATATAAATTAGTAATGGTACAGCATAAAGCAATTACTATTAATATAACATAACAACATTAAAAAGGAACTTCATTCATGACCTTTAGGAAATCACTTACTTTTTCTACATTAAAGAAAATCTATAACATCATTTTATACAAATATGACTTTAATTTAAAACAACAAATAGTCATCAAGGACAATAACAATGACTTTTAATAATATCGTATTTGTTTATGATATCATTGGAAAATAATGCACTGCATATAATAATAAAATATAAGAAACCTGACATTAATTTATAATTAATTCGCTTTTATAAAATTAAATTCGCTAAAGGCAAAAACATCTCAATTTGCAAGGCAGAAATATTTTAATAAATAAACACTATAACCAAATAACCTCGACATTTGACATAAGCTTTATACTTTTATATTTGTGTATAGAAGATCTAATATCATTTAAGTATACTGTGCCCAAATAGGCCAATAAATCCTCTGGTGGTAAACATAGCGAATTACCAAGCCCCTTTACAAAAGTTGCCTGTGCAACATCCTTTTTGTCACGGTCGAGGAAGGGAACATAAGTATGTCAACTGCTATTGGATTGGACCTACAGATAGTGATAAGAACATATAATTAGACCGTGTTCGCCTACGAGCACGGCCAAACCTGTGTGTAGGTTTTGCACATGGTCCAGAACAGTTTTCACAGCCCTCAGCTAAAAATTAATCCAATCAATGGTCATTGGGGTCATGGCATTCCTCCACAAAGGAAACGCTCGCGTCAGCACACTCGCTACCTTACCAACGCAGAGTTCTCTATAATGCTTGTGAGTTCTGGCCGGCTCAAGAGTTCTGTGTTCTATGAAGCTATAATAGTCTATGGACTTAAAAAAAACATCAGTGAAAGTAAAATTAATAGACAGAAAGTTCTATTTTTCTTCACTGAAATTAACTGCTATAAACAAAGCTTATAAGTAAAAACTGCAAATTATTTTTACATATTAGAAGGGCAATAGAACATATTGTTGCATGTCCGAGGGTGCAAGCGCTTGCCAAATCTTGATCATTATCACCTATTGGCCATCACTGAGCCACTGCTACCTTCCAGTTAATAAAAGTTTTATTTATTATACTTACATCTGCAAACACATTCCTGTCTGCTTTCACATATAGAGGTTCATATTCATCCCCACTAGACTCATCTTGGTTAGGCTGTTCATTTGAAACTTGAAGCTTCCGAAAGTTACGAAGAGACATGTTTCTTCTAAAACAATAATGCAAATACATTGTGAATTTATTTTGTTCATTAAGAATAATTAATTAATAATATTTCACATATTAAATAAGACATTCATGGCACAATAAAATACCAACCAGTAGTTCTCAAGCATTATAAGCTAAGGGATGTCTATACTAAAAGCAAGTCAAACATCTTGCTATCAATGTTAAATTCACAAAGAGAAATAATATTAGTAACAAGTATTTAATGTGTATTCATCCCTGTTTCACTCCTTTTGTTTTGCTAATTCATCCATATATGATAACTAAGCAACACAGTGGGCAAAACTTTGTACATGTCCACTTTGTTGCAATTACTTGCACTGTCTTGCACTGTCAATATTCCTTTGGTATCAGACCATAATTCATAGAGACCTAACATAAGTCTATTACCACAAGATTGAACGGTATTTCTAAGATGTGTGTTGCTCAGTTGTTTGGAACACGTAGTGAAATTGGGACTAACAAGATGGGATAATCTAGGTACCTGAAACTCTGTTGTAGAACCTATAAAATTACATGGTTTTAATAAAATGCTCATTCTTAGAAAATTATCCTACCTTAATGAATATTTTAAATCTTAGTCTTCATCTTTTTGCCTTTTTTCTTGTAGAAAAGGATTAAGCTGTCTCTGATTTAAAACCTAATTTTCTATCTATATGCACCTAATTAAGCAATAAGAAATTATGAAAAAGATTATAGTGACATGATAAAGAATCTAATATCTAATCACCTATTAAGATATTACATACATTGCTATTGTTTAATATACTTCTATTTACTATTTGTTACAGTTTGGATCCCATAACTTCGAATAAATATGGGTCGAAATTTAGAGATTATTTATTTCCAAATTTCAATAATTTATTATTAACAGACACGCCGGTGAATATAAACTACATTAATATTGTACAAGAAACTATTTAAAAAAATATCTACTGTATTCGGCATACCGTAACAATCTGCCTAACACTTCAAAACATTATGGATTATGGTAATAGCGATGATATTACTATTAACTATACATAATTAATTACTTACTCTCTTATAGCAACTACCAACTCCACAATACTAATTTATTTATTAATAAATTTCAAACCACTGACTGCGTAAAGGATAATCACGTACAAACTCCGGGACCTCAGATCTGAATTCACTTCACTATTGATTATTGACTATTGATTATTAAATTGAAATACACAGCAGTGTTGCCAAATCACAAAACATAACATGCGCGAAAGTCTGCGCATTAAGCGTAGTACAGTACCATAGTCCATAGCTCGTAAAAGCCGAATAAATTTTCTCGAATAAAATTTTTTCTCGATGCGAAATAAAATATTTATAAATGTTAACAAAGGAACGATTAATTAAAATTAAAAGCCAGTTTAAAATCAGAGCTCCCGCCATAAATTCGTGTTTTTTTTTTTATAACCACCCAGAAATAGGAACAGAATTAATATGTTCACATGAACAAAACGGTGGATTTCTGAGAAAATTACAACAGATAATTTTTTTTCATCAATGAACACCCTGTGCTAATAGAAATTTTACATTGATTTCAGAATTATGTACTCAACTTGAAGAGCATAAAGTTGTAGTCGCTGGTTGCATCATAATACGTAAATTCGTATCATATTTAATTAAATCATGTCTACCACGAGAAGGGCTAAAATATGTATCCACGTTTCTAGATCCTGCTATTAACCAGCTGCTGCCTGCGACTATATCTAGGCTGAAGGCGTAACAATGAGACTGAAGGATAGATATATATAAAAATATGCCTTTAGATACCACATTCATTGGTTTGGCTTATGATGCCTGGGAAAAATACTAAAATTTTAAGTCAACACCAACTGCCTTTAGGATATGTGCACTTGAACTTATCCAATCAAAATTACTATCTTGATTAACTCGAAAATTTAACGATAAATCAGATTTCATTTAATACGGGCCTTTTTTTTATATAGAATTAAGAAAATTATTTGCTTTTGGTTGTTTTAAATCTCATATTTTATATTGAATAATTGCAAAAATCACGTTAAATGGTATCGCCAAAAGTATAAAGAGTTGTTTCTACTTCTGTGCATGTCTCGCCTGTAATGTAATTCTGTCATGTTAACAAAACATTATCTCCAAAAGACAATTGAGATCATATGGCTACGGAAAAATTATGTACATTTAGAATATATTTAAGAATATAGACGTATTATTTACATATATTTTTTTAAATGTGTTTTGCCATCTGAAACTGACATATCTATACTCTATACAGATAAATAAAATTGGAGTGTCTGTTTGTAATATTAAAATTACTACTTTTTATTATATAAATATGGATGTATACACGGTACTTATACCAAAATAACATACAACCACCAATAATTTTTGTCTGTCTGTTTGTTCCGGCTAATCTCTGAAACGACTGGACCGATTTTGACGGGACTTTCACTGGCAGAAAGCTAATGTTATAAGGAGTAACTTAGGCTACTTTTATTTTAAAAATTTTATTTATATTAAATTGCACACGGACGGCGTTGCGGGGCACAGCTAGTGTAATCATATAATCAGGCGAGATGTAGCCCAATGTAGCCACATAAAAACTAAAACAAAGACTGACGATCTGAGACATAGATACAATTATATTTTTTACAATCTTAACATACCTTTTTCGATCCCTCACAAGTTCTCCCCGGTTAAAGCTTACGCCACCTTTTCTCCTTCCTTACGTTCAAAGTGATCGATACACGTTCGTATATAGACACCCTCTACCGGAAATATATTTTTATTTTTAATTAAATTTATTTAAAAAAAAATTACAATAAGAATACAGACATAAAACTGTATTAAAACATACTTACGCCTGGTTTCTGAAACACTGATCATCGTAGATGTTAACTCATTCTGATCATTAAGAAGATTATTCTGGTCAATTCAGAGAGTTTAACCATACTTTTGGCAACTAAAATGAAATTTGCAAAGCCATTTGACAACTGATTAGTTAACATCTACGATGATCAGTGTTTCAGAAACCGGGCGTAAGTATTATATTTAGTCCCATTAAGCAAGATAAAATAATAATATTAATAAAATAGTTGTTTTTAACACCTTCCCTTATAAATACTCAAAATCATAAAAAGGAGAAAGACTATTATTCTTTCTCCTACGTTAAGATTCTTAGTTGTTGATATAATGTTAACTGTTCATTATTAGGACTTCCTAATAATACCGATAAACCCGTACTACGTAGTACGAGTTTATCCGTATTCTGGAAATTGAAATATGTTCAGTTCAATGCATGTTTAAATTTAAAGGCAAATGGCTTTCCAAGAATATTTAGATGTTTTGCGAAATGTACGAATAAGTGCAAACTTAATCGAATTACTGTTTTACGAAACTCATATAGCATATATATGGCATGGCAAATTGAAGCATATATTTTTTCTTTTTAAGAATAAGTTCTATTATGTTAAAATATGGGCTAATTAATTTTTATATAACAAAAGACAGCTAAGCTAAGGTTTAATTTCCTGTTTTAACAAAGCCATTTTTATATATTAATCTGGAAAATTAACTAAATCCTGCTCACTCTACATGGCTTACAAATATTTACTCATGGTTAAAAATTAAATATTAAATACTAAATAATTATTAATAACTGATTTTGTAAACATTATATTTAAATAACGGATAAAGATATCAAATATGCATTAATTTTTAATGTTATACAACAAATAATTTTTCTCATTTACAGTAAATGAAAATAACTTACTTCCTCGGATGTCCTGTGGAAGATCGCTCTAAAGTTTAAGTATCGATCGCTTTTACTTTTTTAAATACCGCTGTTCAGCATCTACGGACCAATGATGTAACAATCATTCATCATTGAAATTATTCAATAATTTAAATTATTATGCTTCACAAAATCTTATTATGTTAAATTATAATTAATATAAATGTGCAAATGACATAATAATACTTTTATGCATAAATATTATAAATTGTCCCCAATTTTACTTTTTTTTTTCATTTATGTATTAATAATTGTAAGTGTGGAAATCCGCAAAAATCTAGTGAACTTTGAGTACAATATTTTGTGTTCAGATTACAATATTTTGTTATTGCAAATACTCATGAAAAATAATAAAAACACGTAACGAAAAAATAGGTCAACAAACTGAAGAGAAAATTATGTACTAATTCAAGTTCAATGTCCTTGGTTACGGCCAGCGGCCAGCCTGGCACAAAGCTAAAGGCGCGCCGCCCGTCCCACTCTTTCTCGCCGGCCAATTTCCCTACATAACTAATTACACCCTTGTCACTCTGCCGGCGAAGTATAACTGAAAAGTTGGAATAAACAAAGCGCGGACGGGCGGTCGAAGAGCAAGACGGAGTTGGGCAAGCACGCCTTTTGCTTTGTGCCGGGCAGGCCGTACTTAAGATCCTTGAACGTAAATTAATACATAACTTCCCTACAGCTTGTTGAATTTTTATATATAATAATTCAAATTCAAAAGTTCATCTTAGATCTCAAAATGAATTTAACCAAAGTTAAAAAAAAAGAAGTCAAGGAAAAAAGATGATTGCCTCGTTCTTTGGTTAAAAACGTTATTACGCGATAGTGGTGCTGGAAGATGGAAGGGCAGTAACTGCAGACTCGATGCAGGATCCTCCTTCACCATGACAACACGTCACCGCTTGGCATTACATGACATGTTTCAAGATAATGAGTCATTCCTGGTGCCCAGCGACTTTCATTTATTCCCAAGAATCAAAGATAACCTTCGAGGTGTTCGTTTTAGGAGCCTTGAAGAGGCGGTAAATGCTTTCGAAAATGCCGAAGGAGAGTTGTATAGAGAGGAACGTGTAATAGTCTCTATTTCGAAAACAATAAAAGTATTGTCAAAAATTTCTACAATGAGCCGCTTTATATCTCGTGGAGCGGACAGACGCCTGTACACGCGACTTCAATTCAACAACTTAGATATAAAAAAATACAGTAGACCGAATTGTGAATGTAAGCCATTCTCGAATCGAGCTGTAGACACACAAAAAATTTCATTAATATCGCTCCAGCCGTTTAGGAGTTCTTTGACGTACTCACGTTCAGAATATAATTTAAAGTTATATAATTTACAGAGATCTCTTTTACGGTCAGTCTGAATAAGTTTCCTTATTATAAAATTTAACAGTAAATACAAAACTTGGTAACATTAAATACCAAAAGCATATAATTGCTTTTCGTATTTAATGTTAAGCTTTGTTCTTTGCAACAAAATGCATTCATTTCAGTGTTATGTATCATTTTCAAAGAAGCATTTAGATTGCTGTTTTCATGTTTTGGCTATGAAAGATTGTTGATTGCCATTTTATGAACAAAAATTTAATAACATAGCCACTATAATGGATAGGGTATATTATAGTGGCAGAAAATTTTCTTCTTTAAACATTAAAAAGATATGTTCTTTACTGTCAATTTGACGTTTTTAAATGCGTTCATAATTCATACTATGAGTTTTTGAGACAAGTTTCAAGTTCGGATCTAAGTAGGTATGACGTATCGAATTTTAAATGCATAAAATAAAGAAGTTAATCAATAGAAGCTAGTTTAAAGGTACTGTTGTGTGTACCGGGCGTAGTTGGCCTCGCTTATAAGCGTACAGTTTCTCGCTGCATCTTTAACTTGTGGTATTGTTACCAAAAATGAGTCGTTGGATTTTATTTACTCTTTGTATCCTAATTCTAAATAATCTAGTGAAAGGTGCAGTTATAGCTGATAATGGTGACATTGATGAACAAGGACTTTATAGTAAGTCAGACCAAGTTATAATTTTAACAAATAAAAATTTTGATAGAAAAGTATATGGTCAAAAACATGCATTATTGGTGGAATTTTATAACAGTTATTGTGGACATTGTCGAGCATTCGCTCCTAAATTTAAAAGTTTTGCGGCGGATATCATAGCTTGGAAGAACATTATACAATTAGCTGTTCTAGATTGCTCTGTAGATGAAAACAATGAAATTTGCAGACAGTTTGAGGTAATGGCCTATCCATCTTTTCGTTACCTACATGAAAATTATGTTAAAGGCAATGCAAATGTTGGTGAAAAATTTCTTTCTACAAATTCTGCGGATCAATTAAAGTCACAGCTTATTACAAAAATGCAAAAAGAACAATCTACAGGACATCTTAAATTTGCACCTTCACTTAGTATTGCTTCTTATTCTACATTCCATGGAGCCTTAAGTGATGTGCCAAATGATGTTATGTACACATTTCTGATATTTGAAAATAGGAATTCCACTGTGGGTTCTGAAATTGCTTTAGATATAAATGATTATAAGCAAATTAATGTTAAAAGAGTCTATGAAGACTGTGAATTAGCAAATATAGCTGAAATAACACATTTTCCTGGCCTTGTAGCTGTTAGACCTACACTTGAAACAACATCTTTAACACCAAAAGATCCCACAAAAAAGAATTTGTTGCAAGCTATCAATACATTCCTAAAGTCTAAAAATTATGCATTTCCAGTCCGTGAAGTTGATACTCAAAATATTGATTTGAATCTAAGACAGAAGAACAATATGACACCCATAATTCCTGATATAGTTTATTACAGTGACTTAGAAAAGACCCTTAAGACAAGTTTCCACACAGAAATAACAAGACATAAAATACTTAAGGATGAAGAATTGCAAGCTTTACTGGACTATTTAGATGTTCTCATTAATGTATTTCCATTTAGAGGCAATCTGAAGAGCTACATCACAGATTTTTTGAAAATGTTACAAACAAAAAATGAATGGAAAGGTAGTGAGGTATATGATTTGGTGAAAAGTCTAGAAACAAAGCATGCACCTGTATATACATTAGATTTAGATTACATAGGTTGCAGAGGAAGCCTGCCAAAGTATCGAGGGTATACTTGTGGCCTATGGACTTTGTTTCACACATTAACTGTAAATGCTATGAACAAGCCTGGTACAGAAGGCCCTAGAGTGTTGAAGGCTATGCATGGATATGTTAAATATTTCTTTGGTTGCACGGAATGTGCTCAACATTTTCAAAACATGGCTGCAAGGAACCGTCTTTTTGATGTAAAGGAGAATGATAAGGCAGTGCTTTGGTTATGGATTTCTCATAATGAAGTGAATTTAAGACTGGCTGGTGATGTAACTGAGGATCCGGAACATCCTAAAATACAATTTCCAAGTGTTGCAAAGTGTCCAGAGTGTAGACTTGTTAGAGGTGCTTGGAATTTACCAGCAGTATATCAGTATCTTCAAAAAGTTTATGGTTCCGGAAATATACAAAGTGGAAGAAGATTGGCACAGTCTGATGTAGCAGCAAGTCCCTTCTCCAGCTTGGACATTGGAATGTTAAGCCTCTTGTACATATTTTCTTTTATTATTCTTATTGTAGCTATTAAGTTTTTTATCACAAAGCGTTTTTACAGAAAACGCCGTTATAAACATGGATGGGGTAAAGTATAACATTGGGTCTAGCTTATAACCTAGCACCTTTTTTAATATAATTGTGTGCAATAATCCTTATTTTAATCCTTACGTTTTATTTTATCAGATCCTTACATATGAAATTGGACCCTAAGAAACTGCAGTGTATGATAACAGCACAAGTCCACCAAACACTTATAGCTTTCGCTTTATAGCTTTTGACAAGATTTAGTCGGTTCTCCTTGTACTCAGTGATGAGCGTTTTTTTAAGCAAACAATACAATTCAAAATTCCCCATGTTATTGTGACCGTTGAGTAATGTAATGTAGTAATCAATACTTGTTTTTTTGTTTTATTAGTTTTGCAAGCTTTTTACCAATTTAAGCTAACTCTGACTTGGTTTGTGATGGATCTTTTACTTGATCACCTTTAACTATTTGTGTTAGGGTTTCCGTTCTTCCATGGTGTTTATTCTGTAGGTCTAGAATGAAAAAAGTAATTTCTAGAATGAAACCAAAAAGGTAACATGTTTGCTTTTAAAGTACCTTCTATATACACATCAATAATCCTTTGAGTTGTTTCTTAGGGCGTGAGTGCCACGACGGTATTCGTATTCGTAAATAACGCACCATTTTAACTTTTCTATATTGTGAACAAACTAATGTTAAAGAATTCCTAGCCAAATGATATTTGAGATCAGATTTCATATGTAAGGACCTAATATTTCTTTATGTGGGTCCTGCTGTTCCTTAAAATATACTTGATCAGATTGATGGATAAATTTTCTTAATATCTTTACTTGCACCAAATAATTGACATTCTAACGCTTATTATACAACAGTGAAAACCTGCAAGTTTTTTTGAATTTTAATACCCGAATCTTCAACACTACATTACTAAATTTGCACTGAAAGAGGCTCTATAATAAAGATAACAGCTGGATCCATATTCTATATATCTTATTTTTTAGTTGTCTAAGTTATGTATGTATGTCATGATTTTAACCAATATAAAACTCCAATTATAATGATTTTTAATAAAAACATTACATATTTTAACCAGTGAAGTAAGTACCTATACATATATATGTATTGAGTTCATATCACAACTATGTTGCAAATGTAGGCGGTTATCACTTAATATCAGGTAAACCGCTAGCTCATTTGCATCTTTCTCACATAAAAAAACCATATATAAAAACACTCCTCATAATGTAATGTTCTTCTCTAAAAAAAATGGTAAGTAAATCTTTCTTAAATATTGATCTTCGTTTTGATTCAATTATTGAGATATAATTGTTATGGGGGGATGTTCATTTGTTTTCTCGTCTGGTTGGGTTTATAAATAAAAATAAAAATTATTATAATTGTTATTATTATTTACTTATTATTACTTTGTTATTCATGTTTTTGTAGTTTATGAAGATGTTTCAATCACATCTTAAGACTAGGCAATGTTATAAAAATTGTACTAAATATTTATTGGACAAGTCAGGTTATATTCAATTATCATAAATATCTCAATTAGTTTATTTTCATATGAAAAAAAAATGTCTTTTATTATATAAGACCCTAGTCCAGAAATAGATATAAGTGATTACAGTTTACTTTGAATATCACATCTAATTAATGTTGAATTTAGAAATAACATTTTATGAGGACATTTTATTATTAATCCTAAACAAACCTTGTTCTTTATGAATGCATGTTGATATTAAAAAGAAAGGTTTTTTTTAATTTGTGTCTGTTGTATATTGTTGCATTATTTTGTAACTTTCTAATGAATGTTAAAATGGTGATAATTGTTCCATCAATGTACAAATAAAAGTGTAAGTGTTGTGTGACTCAAATTACTAACTGTTGGATTTATTTCCTACATAAGATATTAATATTAAATAATAAAATTAAAAAGATACTTAAATTATCTTAGCAATTATGGTAGAGTATACAATTAAATTAATTATATAGTGTGGTTACTGGGTGATACACACAAACTAGTGCGCGCGCGCACATTACCCTATACATATTATAAATTTATGATCATGTACGTGTAGATATAATTTAATTAATTGTTTTGCTATGATCAACAACAACTCACAATTGTGATGTTATAATATTTTATTTAGTACAACTAAAATAATGTTTGACAATGTTACATATAGTACTTAATTAAGATCTTAAACCTAATTCCAGAAAATATATTGCCAAATGTACGATTCGTCATTCCATTGGTTTTATAATTTATGATAGTAGCAAATGAATGTGAAATCTGTTAACTATCTTCGACAAATTTAATAAACTATTTAATTATATACTTTAAAGCGGAACAGTGAACATGTTTTCCGGATACATGGTTAGGTCATGTAAGTTGAATGAATGGAATGAATCATAAGCTGAATGAGTTTTCTAAACTGTACACTAACATTCACTAACAACAACTGTTTTAATAGCTGTTTGATCGCATCTAATTGTAATGAATAGCAATAAACATATAGGTAATGCATAGTTTTACTAAAGCATTCACAATAATAGTAATAAATAATATATATTATTGTTGTTACTTGAAAAAAGAGAATTAAATATTTTTCTAAAGTTTTTATATAGATCTTATATCTTTAGTTGGGTTCAAATCTGCTCATTTCTCTAATAGTAGATTGTACCTACATTCAAAGTTGCCAAAGTCTAGGTAGATTTTGAATAGGTATCCAAAACAAAAAGATATAAAATTTTTCATTCTTAGTAATTTGTTAATAATAAAAAATAATTTTACACAATGTAATCTGACACATTAATTGTATAAATCATTTGATTTAGAAAAAAGTATATATTTATAGTTCTACCCAATAATATTTTATACTGCAGATATGTTAACGCGCCCGAAGAGAACCCATGAAAACATCCTGACTGGGATGTCTCTTCTATAATTCACGTTAGACAGGGCGTCGAGAAAGAAGTGTCAAAAATTTTACAATAATAAAAATGTCTGCGTGGGTCGTAAAAGAAAATGTACCGAGTATGACTTTTAACAAAATTCAAGGAATCTCGTATCATGTACATTATGCCATATTTATTAGTATGTTGCAATTAGTTCCTTGATATTTGTTATAATATTAGAAAACAAAGAAAGAGGCTGTAAATAACTTTAATACGGGGACGTGAAAAACGGATGCACCTTACACCCGCACTCACGCTCAAGTAACAAACACTTGCCATTCTCTTATTTTTTATTGCTATAATTAATCTTTTTTACACCATTCTACGCGTGAGAAAGTTATAATGAACAAAATGTGCGAATGTGTCCTGTCACACTTTCGACCGTGATTTTAAAAGCGAATAACATCTATATATAAAATGTGGTTGGTTCTACCATTAAAGCGAAACATGTAAAAACAGTTCGGAGCGGGTGCAAGTTTGGATACACATTTTTCGTAAGCGAAATAGTATTAGATTTTATTAAATAGTTATAAGAAAAATTAATGAATTGAAATACAGTTATAAAAGTATGTTGTACCCAATTTTGTTCAAAATTGTATATCTTCATGTTCTATCAGATTTCCTCTAAGATTAAGAAAATAAACTTTACGCGGTTACTTTATTATAGTTGTTTGTTTCAATTAGTAGATGTACTTTAAAAGTAGTCTGGCCATCGTATATGTACCATATTATGTATTGCAGTATTGTTCTCCGTGTCGGGATGGAAAATCTTCCTTAAAAGTAGTGTAAGGTCAGTTAATTTTTGTGCATACTTAGTTTTGGTGGCGGGTTTTAAAAGCAAATCATAAAAATATTCTTAATAGGCTAGATTATTGACTAAAACAATTTGTCTCTGAGAGATGATATATATATATATATTATATAATACTTAAAAATACTTTGTAAATATTAACATGGTACAATAGAATTCAAATGATGATTGATGTTCCTTCGTATTATTTGGTAGAATTAATTGCTGATTTCTCTAGATTCAGCGAAGACAATAGTTACATCAGCCATAAAACATAGATAGGTAGTGTGTTCTCTGTGAATATACTTAATGTTATAAACTTGGTACTTAGCACCCGTTAATGTTAATATTTGAGAATTAAAATTAAGTTATTATCAAAAATACTAACACTGTAATCACAGAGGCCAATTAGCACACTAGCATTATATCGTTCGATTGCGAAGCTCATTTTAATGACTAACCAAGGATAGCCGTTAATATAATTAATGTGAGTTCAGACCCAATCGATATCTTCAGCGCGACCGTTGCTGTACCAAGCTTTTTGTTTAATTTTAAAATTACGTGCTTGCACTCATTTTCGTCACTTTAGCTTGAATTTTAATTTCCAATAATTGCTGTTATTTTATAGCCTGTTCCTGTTTTAAATCTACTATTTATAAAACTGACTATCGTAGTGATAAATTTAAGTTTCTTCCTAAAGTCTGAATATAATAAAAAAGGCACATTTCCATATTTAGTTCCGGCGGTTATGGGTACATGTCATAATATACCGCTTTATGTTAGTGTAACGCTTAGCGCTCTAGAGATAAGAAATAAAATTATATTTTTTTTTTCAGGTATATGACGGCCTGACTATTTTTCTGCACTGAAAACATAAAATTGAACGACAGGACACGCCCAGTGGAAAGATACATTGTATATCAGTCAGACGGACCTAATTCGTTGTCTAATCCCAGCCATTTTCTGTAATTACATTTTAACTTATAATATCGAAGCGAACATTCTATGTAGTTGATCTCACCTTCGTTATAAGACGAAAATGTATATTAATCATTTATACATAAAATTCTCATTTAATAAACTTAACTTTTTTTAGTCGCATTAAAGTAAATAACTTACATTTTGTCGTTTTATTAATTAAATACATTAGTACAATACTTAATTATACTCATTAGTGCTATATATACATTATAAGGCACCTAATATGTTCTTAGAAAAAAAAAAACATAATTGTTATAACTAAAAAAATGGCATATATCTCATCTAGTCTTGGTGTGTGAGGGGTGTAAAGGTGTCTTTTCTTCCCACCCATTGCGCTGTCTCCGCCATAAGAAAGCCATATTTTGATATTTTTGCTCAACTCGGCTATTTCATAATAATACAGACGAGTTTTTATATTAATTACCATTCATTTCGCACTGGGCAACCGCCGCGCCATTGTCAATACTAGCCGAAAAATAAGTATATTAGGCAAGACCTATCAGCTTACTTTATAACCGCCATCGAATTTGGCACGACAAGTCCTAAAACTCCCACGAGCTGCGACGCAAAACATTTCGCCTACTAATTGTAAGTAAAATTTGAGGTAGGTAAGTATATTTTTTTTAATTAGTTTATTTTTGTGTATAACAACTAGAAAGTGGCTTAGGTATTAATATAATAATTCAGTCAATTAAGATATAAAGTATGTAACATTAGTAAAGTAGCAACTATTTGATCTAAAGTAGAGCTTTTGGCCTAAAGGACTTGATTCCAGGGCCGTTAAACTAATAAAAAAAAAAAAAAGTAGAGCTTTTACTCTAATAGTGCAAAAGTAACGTCAGCTCTATGGAGTAGTATTGTAAATCGCTTATTACGAGGGCCTTTTTGAAAATAAATGAGTAGTTAAAATATGCTAAATATTCTCTATTGTATGACAGGATGAACTCCAGTGCTCGTAATCGTATGGGGGCACCACTCTAGATTTAAGTGACGTATTCGCGTCTAGCTCATTGGCTTTTAAGTGTTGTTTTTTTGGCTAAAATTACTTTATTCATTAAATAATAAAAAAATGTAGGGATTAAATAAAAAAAAACCTTTAAAGATTTAATTGTTTTATTGGATATACAATAATAAAAACACGCCAATACACATACATAAATTGAATACCGTGAATTCACTCTGCAAAAAGAAATAAATATTTTCGTCGCCTCATAAAGAGTACAGTTGATTGCGCATGAAGTGTGGTTACAAACACTTTACGAAGAAAGTATAAGTAATTAACATTTTCAATAGACTTCATCTGCACTGAAATCTGACAAATGTTATTTATTCCACATCACACTTAAATCCGTATAACTAATTCACACTAACATTAAGATGCTTGTCTGTTTTAGGACCAAGATTTGTATATAAGATTTATAGTTACAGATTCTAGTTTTGTAATTAATCTTAAGGTTAAAACAAATCTATGCCTAGTATTTTCTGCCATTAAAACGATGCGATTATTATTAAATATTTTAGATAAACGAAATACGAAATTATACTTTAAGAAAATATTTGTGCTATAATGCAGCTTATGGTAACAAAATGGTTTAAATAAAATTTGATTTTCTCTTTACACAAAACAAAAGTATGAAATAAAGTGATACTTGAAAATACTTAAATACGTTATTTTCCTTTAAATGGCACCTGGATGTGATGACTTCATCAAATAACAATAACGAATAATTTAAAAAATGATGACGTTGGGAACGGTTACGTAATTTAACTAAAACGTACTCATATACGCCTTAGTTAAAATGTAGATTAGTTGGACACGACTATCGCCCCATCTTATATAAGGAGAGCATTAATCTACATTCTGGTAGAGAAAGCTAAGCATCGTTACGCAAACACGAATCGATTATTGAATACAAAAATACATTAAAACCTCATTGAAAAATTGGCGGACCAGCACAACGGGTAAAAACACTATAATTATATCATAGTCCTAACATGGTCTAAACGCTCAGACTAAATTACGAACGAGTTAATTATATTTTGTACGTCGATGTTGCATCCCTCCATTTAATTTAGTCATTAGCTTTCTTTTATGTACAAGAACAACAATTCAAAAAAATTGACTAGCTGCGATTGGTTATTGAAACACGTATGTAATTGTTAGATAATTTTATCACACGCTTTTAGGGATAATCTAAAGTATCCAAAAACTTTAGGGCACATCAAAATTTCGTACCTAACGGGCTACAATACAAACATTAAATTTCAACTTTTCTTTAGAATCTCTACACCGAATCGTAGTGAACACCAAACATTTTTATTTACCATTAACCCTAGTGACAGTTTAGCTAAATAAAAAAATATAGATTATTCATTTCTCTTTACAAGTATAACAGTAATTTGTAATCTACGTTTGAGAACATTTAGATGTTTGGTCGATTTTTTTATTACCAGCACACATTTCGGGCACATAACTCCGCTTTTAGACTAACACTGTTTTACTCTCACAAACTAAAAAAGCTCCATATATTCGCTAGTATACCCTATTGACAAACAGCCCAATGCCCGATTGACATGTATTACACCGTTAAATGTGCCGATTAAACTAGTTTACATGACGTAATTGCAAGCAACTGTCAACATATTATTAATAGTAAAACTTTATCAAGTTATTTATCTTTGCCTAAGATGGCTAACAATAGCATGTAGAAATGGTTAAGTTATTATCTAAATTCGTAATTTTTACCAAGAAACTAAGCTAAGAGATACAAAAACATCCCCTTACACATAAACTGCAATGCACCAACTATATTTTAACTAAAAATTGCATGTCCAAACACATTAACGCCCGGTTTCTGAAACACTGATCATCGTAGATGTAAACTAATCAGTTGTCAAATGAATTTCAAATTTCATTTTAGTTGCGAAAAGGGTGGTTAAACTCTGTAAATTGGCTAAAATGATTTTCTTAATGATCAGAATGATCATTTCGAAGAGTTTAAACATCCTTTTGGACATTTACGATGATCAGTGTTTCAGAAACCGGACGTAAGTGATGGTCTTGCGGAAAACTTAACGGAATACATTTTCCAGTTGCAGTTCGCACTAATTTTTTATTTGCCACGTGTTGTTCTTGACAAACTGTATACACGCATGAATTAAATAAAAATTTAGTAACCGCACTCGTAAATCGGACATTAGTACTGTTGAAATAACCGTTAATGGGCCCGCGAAGTAATGAACATTTTTATACAGAATATCAATTGTAAAAGAAGTCTTGCTAGGGAGAGCATAACATTGAAGAACTTTTATTTAAATAAATAGCGAAATTAATGGAACTGCTCAAGCCGTGAATTTGTTTTAAACTGCAGCCGATTGCATCTATGTCCCAGCATATGAATTTGATGCATTAATCGTACTCGTAATACAGTTGAATTCTTACGATTCGTGATTATTAAGGTGACTCACGGCTCTGGGGCTAAGGTAACTGAGATTCTGGGGCTATCAAAACTACGAAAATTTTATAACTAGATAATGTTAAACGCTTTAATCGGATCGCCAAACAAGTTATGTATCGTGAAACATAACTTTGTGATTTTTGTGTATGTGATTGCGTTTTCAATCAATACTAGCGGTGTTATACGATAGCACTTCAGATCTTCAACAATAGAATGTTCGTCATCCGCCGCGGTACTTAAATAGCTAACAGATAGGCTATTTGACAGTGATGTTTCGATTAGAAATAAATCACAAACGTTTAAGAATTAAACCAAGTGTACCCATCGATTCTTGAACAATCGTAACGATATACTAAGAAATACATGTCGTTCTTTATGGTTGCATTCAAAAACGACTTCGTACTCTTCATCGGGACAATACGAGCAGTTTTAAGTCGCTTACGTAAAAGAGACGCTAAGATCCAAGCCAAGGAAATTCTAGTCGAGTCGTCAATGATGCTGTATATCATTTGAAGCATCCACATTTAACCATAACGGTTCAGAAACGCTGGAATATGAATATATCGTAACAATTGTCTCAAAATATATCTAAGCTTAATATAATTGATAAACATAGATAATGGAGGGAATTTACGAATTGCTTTTCGTTCCCCGAGAATAAGGAGCCCCGTGCCAAAACGCAGAAGATAAGGGTTTTCACTACAAGCACCTTGTGTATATTTAATTGTATAACGAGCTAACTACGACGGCGTGTATTACAGTGTGTGTGTGTGTTTGTGGGAGTGCGTGTGTGTAAAAAGAGCTTCTGGTATCATAGATATCGCATATGAGTTCTTAGTGCAGGCCACGTTCGCTGATCAATTTAGTTAAATGTAGAAGCGGACGTGGCGTGTTGATTTATTACGAGCATTTTGGACGTTTATTACTCTCTATTATCAATGAAATTTCACTTACCATCGCCAATGGCACTGACCAACAAATACCCTAAAATGCACAATGGCCAATAAAAGAATAAGATTATACTGGTTTCAGTAACGTAAAAGGCGGCGCTTGTGTAAAGGACGCATGCTTTTCCTCAACACATAAAGAGTAAAAGTAGAGTCGAGTAATACAAAATATTGAATGAAACGAACGAAGCGGGAAATGTTCGTGCAAACAGCTTCAAACGGCGCGGAGACCCTGTGAAAAGGACAAACAAACAATTATAATTAGTGACGCTAGTATACACGGTAAATGAATCATTTCGGTATTTTGTATTCTTCCCGGAATCAAAATGTATGTCTTGTTCCCCACTATAAACGTCATCTAATTAGGATCCGTTACTTATTATTTCGTTTTTTATTATTTCAATATTATTAATAAATCGTCAGGCTCAGAACTAAAGATTTTTGAAACGGCAGTATCAAAAAAGAGAAGTTGTAAGTTGTTTAAAAAAAGGTACTGAGATCAGAATAATGAACGCATACATTGATTGAGATTTCTTAAACTAAAAAGACGTAATACAAATTGGTTATTTTCATAACACGAGTCGTGTGAAAGTACAATTGTCACAAGTGTTATAATAACTTTCCATTCTTATGTATCTTAGCCATCGTCCCATTTTTTCCGTTTACAAATCAACATTACATTACACCTTTTCATTATTATACTCTGCGACATCTGCGTGAGCAAAAAAGCTAAGGGTTTTAATTTAAAACCTCCAAAAGTATAAATATAACAAAGGTTACGCAATGATAGCTTCTATTAACTCGAATAAAAATGAAAACAAAAGATTTAAGAAAGAGTGAAAACAGATGATAACGGATATGAATGACCTTTATTAATGATGAAGCACATACGTTAATGAATTTGGCTAAAAATAATTACTGCTCGGGCTAGATGGATAAATGTTTTACGAATACTTTGGTTAATGGTTACAATAACTTCACAGTAAGGATACACTCAAAGAGCATTTGGCTCAAAACACCGTGCAGTGTTATTGGTAACGCGAAACACTTCTTTCGCCCAGATACCCATGAAACAATACTTGCCTCGGCGAGCATTAACTTGTCTAGTTATCCACATCAGTTATCGCAGTTTGCGCGCGGATTCGCCCCGCGCTGTGGGCGTGGGCGTGGGCGTGGGCTCCGCCAGCGCCTAGCCAACACCGTGCGATTAGTGAAGCGAAGCGATGCTATGCATTAGTATGTGGCATGCAAGATACGACAGTGAAGAATCCACGCGCCGACGTTTATGGACAGTGTAGAAATAATAACGATTAATTACACTGAAGGCAACAGTTACGCGGTGCGATGGGTTAAGATGAAATGGGTAGAAATTTTCATTAGTCGCTTGCGTAATGTTGACACAGACAATGGCTGATGTGAATACTACAAAATGCACAAACACCGTACGACGAGCATGTAAATGGCCTTTGCGTGTACCAAGTGATTGGTTTTAATAGCGCGCTATATGCTACTAAAACCAATCACGCTGAATAACATCAAACGTGAATTTGAAAAAGTCAACATGTTAGCTAACAATTGACAATCAATCCACTACTTACAAGTGATGAGATAATAAAAGAGTTATTCGTATATGTATAAAAGTAACATATATTTTAAACCCGGTCTTCTATTTAAATCAGCTTTACAATACTCTGAGAGAAAGTCTTAGTGTTATCAAAACATGAAACAACTGTAATAGCAAGGCTCTAACGTGCTGAAACATATTCCATCAAATGGTAATGTAATAATACGTTTCAGCTTACGCGTTAAATAGGGTTACGGGTTACGGTACCGATTTGAGCGACTAAATTAATTGAAAAAGCCATTTTGCACGCATCATTGCCACGTAATGAATTAAATAGCATGCATGTTAGAATGTTCCACGGTAATGATTTACGGTGGCGGCGAGTTGAAATTGAAGAGTGAGGTGTGAAGTAAAAGATATTTTGTGCGTTTAACTTGGTCCTGTTTCTCTTCTTCAATAAACAAAAAGGCTCTTGACGACAGGAGCTTGGACGATGTCAAAAAAAATTATAAATGAAACCAACAATAAATTATACGGTAATACACCGAACTTTCGGATTAGTGACGAGGGGGACAATCATGCCAATCAAAAATCGGTATAAGAGATAAAACAAAACAAAAATTTTGATTTTTTTTATTTGATAAATACTTCATATTAAGACTAACAATATTTTAAACCAGCTTCAAAAAGTAGAATGTTCACAATCCGCACGCTTTTTTTTTTTCATCCATTTCGGCTTCTTTTTCGGAATAAGGGATAAACGTTGATATGAAAGGGTTTATTTACCCTAGTTATATTGCAGTTAGTTATAGTGCAGGCGCGGTGGGTAAAGGTCTATTCTATTTTATGATGACGACTTCAAGAAGTATCTTTTCTGGGCATAGATTCAACCAACCAATCTTTCATAAATAGGATCTCACCTCTTATTAACTCAGTATTAAATAGTAATAGTATTTACAATTACGTTTTCGCGTTCGTTCCTGTTACCGTTTCCGCTTAGATTTTAATTCTGTATCTGTATTTTTCGCTTTTGATGCATTCAATATAAGTCAAAAACAAGTAACAACCAATTTAATTGCCCTAGTTATTGATGCACCCAACGTGGATTATTGAAAATAAAAAATGTATTTGCTATACTAAAATTAATGTGCTTATTGGGATACATGATACTTCTGATAACACTTTATGACCTCGGAACTAGTTTTTAATAGTTTACTTTTTAGTTAAATATGTATGTCAATGTATGAAAACTTATTTGCTGTAATAATATGTAATGTCTAACAAGTTGCTTGTAAAAAGGTTATCATACATATATCAAACATAATAAATGTTTTATCGATCTTTTTATAGTTGATAAGTTATCAATTTTCAAAATTCCAAAAATTTGGTTAATTCACTTTTTTGCTTGTTACATACAGAAAATAATTTTTCTAATTTCGAAGCTCTTCGAAGCAGTTTGAAGAGCGATAAAAATTGTATCGCTGGTTTTATTCTACTCCGTTGTTACGCGTGCAGAAAATTCGCCTGCTAATGATAAGGTACGGATAATACGGGACATCGTTTATTAGAACGAATTATATGTTCCGACGATCAAATTTACGAGGTTTAAAGGTGAAAGAGGCATCGATAAGAGCAGATAGAGTTATCAGAACTGACGCCACGGTGTCGCAGTAGCAAATAAGACAGATTGTTAGCTTGTTATCCAATCAAGGGCCGCGCGGCGACTATAGAACGTTTTAGTTACGTATACCTCGTGCATACTATGACGCGTCAATGGTCGAATTGATACAGCCAGAATTGCCTACAAGCACTACTGTGACCGGACGTAGAAGTCGATTATGATTCATGATCATAAATGATCGCGAACCACTATTGTAATACCGGTACAGCATTGCGGGATGCTGGGAATTTTGTCAAGGTCCATTACACTTTTGTACATCGAATAAAGAAGTTATTCTCTGTAACCCAAAGATAGGTCCCCATTACAGGTCTAAAAATTTTCAAGTAAACCAATAAAACTTCTAAATTACACATCTCAGTAACGTGAACTTATAAAAATGTTACATTTTTCTTTCTTGCACATAACTTGTAATACGTTGAACATTGTTTGATAAATCAGTTTTCTTACGTCGTCTTATAAATTTTTTGTTCGTTATGCTTCTTGACTGTGCGTGACGAGTGTTACGTAAAATAGCCAACATCGAATTGAACGTTACTGCTTATTTTGGGTCGAATAAAAATGTTAGTGACACCAGCATGAACAATACTTTGCGTTCTCCGTATTAGCGACTATGCTATCAATATAGGCAGAATCGCTGCGACGGATTCAATGTTTGCAATTACCAAACAAGTTTTGATAACAGAGTCTCACAAAATGAGCGTAATACGAAGAGTGTTCAATGCAAATTGCATTGAACAGAACATTTGATATTATCAAAGGTTATTAATATTTAAAGCCATGGTCATGGGTCAGAGTTAAGTCGAACATACCGTAACCTGGAAGCCAATATCTGTGCTTATTGGTTCAGCACATGAATTTTTAAAGAAACAATCCCGCAGATAACGGAGGGAGTGTAAGAGAAAAGTGAGTTTGAAGGTCGTGTCAAGGTCACGCCTTCAAGTCGAAAGCATTTGCCTGCCCGTTAGACTGAGGGCCTGAACATGCATGCTATTAAGTAGCACAATAAAAGCAACTTGAAGCTATACGGTACCCGGTAACATACATATAGCTTATGTATAATGAAGTCGGTTAAAAAGAGTATGCTTACGAAACGCTTTTTCGCTCTACTGCTGGTCGACGTAGCGTTTCATGCTTGAATTTCACGTTCTTTGTGATTCTGGCTACGGTAGAATACCTAAATGCAAGTCTGAACAAGTATGTCACTTGAAGATTTGTTGTAAACACTGAGTATGCATAATTAAACTAAGATTTCTTCTCCTTTGGCAAATGCCTGTTTGGAATCATGGATCATAACGTAAATGTAAAACAATTAATAGAAACTCCCAACGATTGTAATGCTAAAGAAACAATGTATTGAAGACCAGTTCAAATATGCCAATAACGGGCACGCTTCCGGGGTGTACACTTCGCTGGCGCTGTCATTGTTAAGGCCCATTTACACGATGCCATTTTCTTATACATACAAGAGCAATAATTGAATGCAATAAATTGCGCGCAATAATTGTTTAGACCATTTTTTGTTTAGACCATGCAACTCATTTATTGCTTCAAATTAATTGTATACAACGTGCAAGAAACTGGCACCATGCAGTGGCGGGCGAGTGTGCAACGCGGCGGGTAGTCGGTGCCGTGGTACAACAAGTGGCGGCCCTTTACCTTGACCTTGGAGATGTCCACGCCGGTGACGCCCTTGACGAGCTCCGGTATGCACTGCACGATGGTGAGCACCTCGCCGGTGAGCTTGGCGGCGCCCACCTCGCCGCCGCCGCAGGAGACCATGGTCACCTTGCGCGCCTGCGACAGCGGCGCGGCCACCTCGGCGGCCACCTGCGCAGCGCGAAGCGACCTTGTTACAACAGCATGTTTACGCGCTACGGTAGAGCGCGGCGGCAGTTCGCGGCTCGCGCATCGTGACTTATCCTCCGCGGACCGCGTTGACTCTGTGGACCTTGTTTTCCTTTCAACCCTTTAAGGTTAAGGTTAAGGCAATTAGGTGTAAATATATTAAAAAATATATATTTTTGTAAAATCGGAGAGAGCGGCATACGAGCTGGCGGTTCACCAGATGTTAAGTGATAACCGTCACCCATGGAAATTAGCATCACCCGTAGGGTAGCTATGAATAGGTAGGTAATAATGTAGGCAGAAATGCGTTGCTATTTTTAAATAAAGTGGGCCCCGGCTGCCTCACTCACAAGACGAAACGCAGAAGTGTAACACTTCTACTTTACACCGGTCTTCTGTTAGGACATGGTACTGACCCGGACGGACGTGCCCATTCGTGCAACATTGAAAACTGTGGTTGTCATCAAACAAATCTTTTTATTTAGGAATTTATGTAAGCGCTAATTGGAGATTCGAAATTATCGCTACCGCTACTTGAGTTTCTGTGAGATAATTTATGCCTATCTGAATAGGTGATAGATAATACACAATACATCATAACAATGTAATAATATTGTTAGCTCGATTATCGTTACATCAATATTTTTCTTTTTATTTAAAAATAAAAAAGCAACCCACAATCCACAGTATCTCAAATTTATCTTTATTTTCATATCTGCTTTGTTTTCTGTTTTTATTTATTCAAACTGAACACCTTCTTTCTTGTGTTAGATTTAAAATAAAAGTAATTTAGTGAGTTGATTCTCGTCTTAAACAAATATCCATCAAAAAAGCCTAAGCAGTACAATAAAAAATTGTTATATTTGCTGAATTTGAAAATAAATTCTGACTGATTTTAGATAGTTAAAAAAATAAAGTACTTTTCTGTTTAATTATTCGACTATGAAAAACTGTACTTTTTTCGCTACAATGATTAGAGAAGATCTCGCAAAAATACAGGACTATGAGGTTACCAGACAAAGGTGACTGTTGCTGACAACGCTTCGCCGAGCTTGTTTAGCGTCACGTGTGGAAAATTATCTACATTTTCTACATACGTCATATGCGATATATTATCATTATAATGTAATTAACAAAACCGCAACATTTTAAACCTACAAACTAATCGTTTTCTTATCTATAATATAGTCTTTGCTAGGGAATTATGTTTCAAGTGGCCATTGTTTGGGTTCGAAAAATATTTTTAAAACCATACCTTGGGCAAAGTTTCGAGCATCATATCGACCATCGCCGCTGAGCCGTATTCCTTCCACGCCTCAGCCTTCTTCGCCATTTGTTCGGCGTCCGCCGCCGCTTTGGCTTTTATGGCATAAGCTTCTGCCTGTGAAAGATGAATGGCATCAAAAAGTTTGAAGAATTCAATCCCTTTAAGTAGTTACTTAAAGGGATTGAAATCTTGCACTACATATCCTTACTTCCTTACTAATATTATAAACGCGAAAGTTTGTATGTATGGATGGATGTTTGTTACTCTTTCACGCAAATAGTACTGAGTGGATTTTAATGAAACTACAATAATATAGCTTTAACATCAGAATAAGACATAGGCTAATTTATATACATATTTTATATATATCTATCTTTCTTTCTGAATGTTACGCCTTCAGCCTATTCCACGCAGACGTAGTCGCGGGCAACAGATAGTAAGTTAATATAGGTAGAAAAAAAGAAACTTAGTGAATGCCCGCGATATAACAACGAAATAACTGGTCGGTCTGTTAAAAGCATAGATGTGGATTAACTTAGACATAAGTACAGAGTGGAAAACTTTTTGTATTTTAAATTTGTATCTTGCATTTAGATATATTTCTTTTTTATCTTAAAATTTTAAATACGCGTTTAAAATTTTTGCTATCGCTTCGGTGTAACTTCATCAAGTCTATAGAAAATTCAGAAAAAAAACTGACACATCATGTCACACAACATGACCTTTGTGTGGAATGTCAAATATTTCCGCAATTTAAATGTCATTATATAATAAAATAGAAAGGAAGATTCTATGGAGAGACTTGTCATTCAAGGCCGTGTAGAAGGCAAAAGACCTCGGGGTCGAGCCCCCACGCGCTGGATTGACCTCGTCACCAGCACTACGAAAGCCACCGCAGTACAATGTGCTCGTATTGCTAACAGCCGCCTCCAATGGAGGAACATCGCAAGACGTGCGGCTGCCCTGGAAGCGAACAGCGACGACGAGACGCAATCCTGTCCATCGACAGCCACGACCACTCTGCCAAGAGTGTCCGATTGAGAAGATATAATAAAATATTAAAAAGTCTGAGTGCGTATTTCCAATATTTATATTTCCCAAAATGAAACGCTGAAATTTCGACTAATGAATAATAATAATACTAATGGTCAGTGGTAAGTAATATCAAGAAAATTAGTTATATCATAATTTATAATGTAAGTCTACAATGAACCAAGAACTGAAAGAAGTGAAAATTATCACTTACCTATATTCCGACCAATATTAACATTATACATTTTTAAATAAGAGTTTACATTAAAAACCATAGTTTTTCATTTTAACATCGCAGTTCTTCTAAAATAAAATTTTCGAACCAAAAAAACTGAAAGTAATAAAAATCAATGATTTTAGATTGAAAACCGTTTGGGTATTGCTATAACTAACACGTTTATGTTTTTTATGTTTCTTAAAAATAATTCTTCTTTGGTTCTTTAAAAGGAACACTAATTTGGCTTTCTTATCAGTACTTAACATTTGCGATACAATATATAAAACTATGTTAATATTTTTTCCATCCACATTAACAATTGATATGAAATTTGTCATTATTTGCATTAAATACTATATCTAAAAAAATATATCTAAGTAAGTTGGCAGAATGAAATAATCAGTAGTTATTGATATCGTATATTATTTATTTATGTATATTTATTAAGTATTTGTGAATATTATAGTATATGTATTCTATTTTGTATGCTTAAATAATGTAATATATTTTTGTTATATTGGGTTTAATATGTTTATATACTTTATATATTTTCATGTATATGTCTTAAATTTATGTATATATGAATATATATATAACTTTTGTTTTAAATTAAAATTTGGTTTGAAACTTTTTACACCTGCCTCTTGTCTCTGCGTCGCCCATAGGTTGACTGGTAGAGAATGCCTTAGGCATTAAGTCCGCCTATACACAATACTAATTTTTTTTTGTGTAAAAGTTTAAATAAATAAAATAAATAAATAAATAAATACGATTATTAATTTTAGGCTGTTATTCGATTGCTTTTTGTAAGGATTGATCAAAGATGTTTAAAAAAATCACTTAATTTAATCACAACGTAAATCACTAGTTTATATTACGTGATTTTAGATAATTTCACCTTGATTTTAGATAGTTCCAGAGATAGCATGTTACGTACATACAAATATGATTTGTTTTACTTTATGCAATATTGGTATAGATAGAGTACCGACATTTTCAGACTTTATTAGTAAATCAAAAAGGAAACTTTTATATTATTCAATAAGCGTTTTTCGAATTTAATTTAAACTTCTATTAATGTCACAGTTCATTCCACGACTTCGAAACGTAGGAAGTTTAAAAACAAATTTAACAGGGCAAAAGCCGTAAAACAAATTTCCTTAACAATGTGTAGTGTTTTCATATAAATGGAGAGATTACAAAAACTTACGCAATTACATTGTATACCGTAGCAATTATTTCTTTGATAGGATTACCTCTCCGCGCACTTTCACCGCCTCCGCTTCCGCTTCCGCCTCTAGGACGGTCTTAAGTCTGTGCGCTTCGGCCAACTTCTCCAATTTAAACTTTTCCGCCTCCGCCGGCCTAAAGAGGTACGACACGATCAAAATGGGGGCCATATCGTACAAGTCCATCATAAATTATGGTGGTATTTCGTCTTACAACTAGATTCATTTTAAACTTATAGTAAATACGAAACGACTCGAGCCGTGATATCATTTTCCGTGCCCTCGCTTTTTATTCAACTTGTCGAGCAACCCGAGCTCGATCCCGGTGCCGTTGACATTAACCAATGAAATTATTAATTTCAAGTGATGAAAAATCACGTGCTCAACGGAGAAGAAAAACATGGTGAGGAAACCTGCATATTTTAGAAATATAAAAAAAAAAATATGTGAATTCCGCCAATCCGTAGTGTTGGACTATGCCCTTATATCCTCTGTACAGAGGACGCCTTTACCAGTGGGACGGTTATTTGGGTTCCGTACTCAAAGGGTAAAACGGGACTGTATCACTAAGACGCCGCTGTCTTTCTGTCCATCTGTCGCCAGTGTGTATCTGTCATGAACCGTGATAGTTAGAACAGTTGAAATTTTGTCAGATGTATTTCTGTTGACGCTATAACAATAAATAGTAAAAAAAGATTAAAAAAATATTTAAGTAGGGTTCGCATATAACAGACATGATATTTTTACCGTTTTTTTAGATAACGGTACGGAACCCTTCCGTTTTTTAAACACGAAACACATTATCGAACAATTCTAGCAAGATTTTTGAAAGTTATGAAGATGCTCGTCCATATTGTGCTATCGGTTCATAGATATTATCCAGTCCAGATATATACGAAACGAGAGGCATTGCTGGATGCAACATTGGTGCAGTAATGGCGGGACCAATGAGGAAGAGACGCTGCTTGTTTGCAAATTAGGAGATAAAGTAAGGCTAATTACACTATAGACGCAATGTGAATAACGTAGGCATACGTAAACAATAAAACAAATGCACTACTGGGAGGCTGGCTCGAGATTCAGTGTCAAATGCTCCCTATTGCTTGGATAGAATCTGTACCAGCAAAACTGACGTCACGGCGGAACAGTGGAATTCTGCTTCCCAATTCTGATCAGCTAGTTGCCGTTTTATCGGGTATGAATTGTGACGATGTTTCGTAAGGAATGACAAGGGCAAAGGGCGATAAGAAAGAGCCTATAATGTTGACGACGGTCTCAATTATGGGGTTACGATCAAGTCGCTTCGGACGTAACGAGCAACTTTTAATCGTTGTCAAAGTGTTTATCACTAGAAAACGACTTTTATTTTAAAGTGAAAACTTCTTCAGCCACGTTGAGCACTATTTAGATGAGCAAAAAATCATGGAACTCATCATTTCAACCCGTTTCATCATCATTATTATCGTATCATCATCATTTAAGCCCGTTTGAGTCCACTGCTAAACTTAGGCCTCCCCATAGACTGCCACGAAGTACGATCCTGAGTATGATCCCAACTTTTTGGGTGAACAATAATCATGGAACTCGCGTCATCGGCACCAAACGCTTTTTATTTATTTTATTATATATGTATTAAATATATTAATTATTTTTAGCTTAAAATATTTATCGATAACTATTAAGTATTACAACAACAACTATTCACATCAATCGGCAGCCCCTGAAGACTGCCCTGATTTTTTTCTGATTCGAATCTGTCCAACTTCATCTTCAATCGTAAGCTCACCTGCGTACAGTCGCCTCCAGTTCCTTCTCACGCCTCTGCACTTCCCACCGCTGCACGTTTATCTCCTGCGTGCGCTCCACGACGGCTATCTGCATCTGCTCCTCCTTGATGCGTTGTTTCGTTTTGGCCGCTTGCAATTCGTACGCCATCTCGGCTTCGGCCTGTTCGGGACGAGGGTCGAGATTAAAATTTACCTTTTTTCTCTGTTTCTTTTTTCTTCAATGTACAAAGTTGTGTGGTGAATACCGCCGCCCGTGGACATCTGTTACAACCGAGGGTTGCAGGTGTGTTAGCAACCTTTTGGAAATTGGGCTCCGGCTACCTCACGAAACGCGGAAGTATTTATAACACTTCCACTTCATGCCGGCCTTCTATGAGGTCGCGGTACTTAGGAGGAGCCGGCCCATTTGTCAGCCAAGGCTGCTCTTGGCCCTACCATAAATAATGTGGCGAGCGAACTGGCGGTTCAACTGATGTCGAGTGATAGCCGCCGCCCGTGGACATTTGCGACACCCGTAAATTTACAGATGCGTTGCCAACTTCTAATAAAGTGGGCCCCGGCCGCCTCACTCACCAGACGAAACGCAGAAATGTAACACTTCTACTTCACTCTAGTGAAGTGCAAGTGTATGATCGATTCGATCACGTTTAGTGACACTTATTACGTATCCTCCTTTATCCACGATTGCCACAACATATTTGATTTATTGGAGCACTGATTTAGATAATAATAAATCTGGATTCCTTAATTAATTAAATGTAGCAAATTATTCCATTGTATCTTTGATAGTTTATATAACTAACTTAAATCAACTCCATCCTTCTTGACCCTCAAAAGAAATCCGAGTAAGTCCACGACAATTATTTAATTACCAATACAGACTTTGGTTAGGTACCACCAGTGGCATAGTTAATCATAAAATATTAAATGAAATATAAGCGCAAACATCACCAGTCGCTACTGCAACATCTAAAGCAAAAACTAACAAACAACGCGGCGTATCGATAGGATCTTTATAACTCGTCGAATGTCAGGAAGTCAAACGAAGATGCTGTTAATTTGGATGTTGGGGCATACATCACTACACAGTATAAAACAAAGTCATCCCGCTGCTTGTCTGTTCCTATGTATGCATAGATCTTTAAAACTACGGATCTTGGTGCGGTTTACTAGATAGAGTGATTCAAGAATAAGGTTTATATATATAATACACTAGCTTTTCGCCCGCGGCTTCGCTCGCGTTGAAGCCCTCGACGATACTTTATTCCAATTAAAAAAATTGCCTATGTCCTTTCTCAGGCTCTAGACTATCTGTGTACCGAATTTCATTTAAATCGGTTCAGTATTTTAAGAGTGCAAGCGAGACAGGCAGACAGAGTTACTTCCGAAATTATATTAGTAGGGATTGCACCCGTGCGAAGCCGGGGCGGGTGGCTAGTTAATTATATATCGATTTTTTTTGTTTTTACGCGAATACCATACATGGTTAGACGAAACGTCTGTCACGTCTCGTCTTGATGTTATATCACGGCCTAGGGTGGGGCGCCAATTCCGTTCTTTACCTTTTTCGTTTGCACTTCCACGTCGTACGCGGCTTTCTTCAGCTCGAAGTCCCGCTGCGCCTTCGCTATCTCGGTGTCGTTGAGGAACCTGGCGGCCATGCGCTGCTCCTCCGCCATGGCCTCCTTGATCTTCGCCTCCGCTTGCGCCTCAGCCTCGCCGATGCGGGCGTCCCGCTTAACTTCCGCCGTTCTAGCCATACCCAGCGCTTTTAAGTAGCCCTGGGTGAATTCATCTAGTTTGGATCGACTTGTGGCGGAGGTCGTGATTGAGCTTTGCATTCTTTTTTATGTGGCAAGTGTGCGAGCCGGCGGTTCACCTGGTGTTAAGTGGTGGGCGCTGCCCGTGGAAATTTGCCGTTTAATGAAGCCATCCCCGGCTACCTCACTCACCAGACGAAACGCGGAAGTATAACACTTGCACTCAACGCCAGTGAAGTGCAAGGTCATGATCGATGCGTTTTGCAGTGACGCCGCTACACAAGTTGACACGTTTGGCCCGCAACGATTACTTTGATTTTGGAATGCTCGCCTCCAAGAAAACCATTGCATATGCACGATAATCAACTAGGAATGTATGTGAGAGCAATAGATGTAAAAGATATTAAAATCAAGAGTTCTTTATTCGAACAACATTTTGTTATCATGTCTTGACAATTTTCAATTCCTACTTGGCATATTCGCTTCATTTCTTACTACCTATAATCAGATTTGTTGTATATTTACTATTTATTAATATACTTACACATTTTTCCCCTTTTGATATAGTGCCACTTTTTCAGCAATTTTATTTTTTAAATTTAATGATTATCGTTGGTATGACATTATTTAGCCCATGATAAAATGAAGTTTCTCAACATTTCAAAAATTCAGCTATAAAATTATTACACCCACTTAAAAAAATCTTTGGGATAATATACACACAAATATATAATTATTAATTTCAAAAATATATCGCTACTAACATATTGCTAATATCTCTTTATATTGAGCCATCCGACTGAAATATATATAGTATATTTTTGGGTACAATATACAGCATGCAGACCCAAAATACAGTATTTTATATATATATATAAAATACTATATATATTACTTTATGATTGGCAATCCTACGTAATCTAGAGTTTCTTGTACAGTCATAAACACCTTTGACGTCGATATACAACAGAGACAAGTTTGGAAAGAACTTTGAATTAAATATTGAAATTTTGACTATAAGTCAGATTGCTTGTGTAGTTTAACTTTAATCATCACAGCTCAGTAACTACATCTATTTGAATAAGGAAAAAAACCTGTGACATAAGGATAGATAATGTGTTGAAATTTAAAAATATTACTCTCTGAACACTTTGTCTTTCAAAATGCCCTAGTTTTAATAATGAGATATTTACAAATCAATTCAGAGTCCAAATGAAAATATACACATGATATATACTATTTTAATATTGCTGTTGAAATAGCGCATCCCGAAATAAATTGTCCTACATTTTGAAGTTATACTTCTTTTGGCGTGTTTGAGAAAAATGTTGAGAGTGAATTTTTACGATGCGACACTACCAAAAGTGACAACATGAACTTGGTTGCGAAGCAACACTTACTTCATGGTATCCCTTTCAGTATTCAATAGACATGAATTTTGTGTTTCACGCTAAATAATTTGCACAAATTAAAAAAAATGTCACGATAAGATTGACATGAGTGGAGCGCCATAAAGCGCTAATTATAGGTGCTGCCTGCACACAGAGCGGGGGTAGAGGGGCGGTATAAGCAATGAGCAATGACGCGCCATCACCGAGTGCGTGACCCGGAAGCGGATAAACGCGTGAGGGCAGAAGTTATTGAGAATTGTGTTAATTTTGCGTTTTTTTTTTCACAAACAATGAGTACTGGCACACGGGGTTTAAAAGGTAAAGTTTTTAGTTAATTTTTCTAAAGTTTTTCAAAACATTTACACCAAAAGCCCAAATACCATTAAAACAATCTATCTAATATTATCAGAACACATTGAAACTAATGTATTTATATTGCGATTTAGACAACATGATCAATGTCAATAGTATGATCATGTTATGTTTATCGCAACAGTAACACATGTTAAATTACACACTCAATTTTCAAAAGGGACATACCTTCGCTTCCTGAGGCAAGATTAACAAAAAAAATAAGTCTACTAAAATATATGGAATCTTTTTAAGGATGCTTTAAAGCAATTGGTGCAGTAGAAATGTTTATTGATTTTGGTAATGTGAATATAGTCTGAAAACAATATTGTAGTGCTTGGAATAAAATATTTTTGGAGAAATAATATACCATGATATAAAGAGAGTGTAGTTATTGTTAACAATAGTATGATTATTTGCATAGTTACAGATAGCTACCATAATGGATAATGTATCTTTTCACTTTTGACGCATATTCCGTATAATACACCCAAATAACTTTTGATAGGAAATAAAAATCAATCTCACCTCTTCATCTCGAATGTCCTTGAGGGTATATGACACAACTGTGATCCCCATATTGATCAGATCGCTGGATGCCACTTCAAACACCTGAAACATTAATCACTCAAATATAAAATTCTTATCGGCTAATTTATTAAATAAGTAAAAATAAAGGTATATGAAATGTAACAAAGAGAGAAGTGTCATGAAATTATGAGAAAATAAATGATCCATAACAATTTATGCCATGTATGTATTAAGGAAAAATATATAATTGATATTGATTGTCACTGAACATGAAATTGGTATCAGATTTATTAAAATCTGATACATTAGTATATTGCTATTACATTTTAAGAATTACGTTTGATTGATGAAAAATAATTTTTTTACATAAAATCATCCCACACTTATATTTCAGGCAAAACCTATAGTCAAAGGATAATATTATAATTTATTTTATATAATGATTATTTATAATAAGTTTGTGTTTATAGTAAGTTTGTGCATAAATCAATAAATATTTAACATTGTCCCAGGAACATTTAAAAACTACTTCATATATATAATATTGCCTTATTTAAAACCTGAGGTGAAATTCCTGTAAAAAGTATTTAATTATTATGCAGTCAAGTGTTCACTCAGGTTTATCTCTAAAGTATTTTAGAACCTTTTTGTTCTGATAAACATCCAAACCAACTAAAAACTAAGATACTCTGTTTAAAATTTGCCATCAAGACTCTTATTTTGTCAGTCACAGTAACAAAATGAATTAAAATTTGCACTATCTTATATACATAATTCTTCTGCACTGATTTTAAAGAAATTTTTTGTGTGTCTTCGGGTCAATTCAAAAATAGTTTAGATTAACAATTAGGTCCAGTACATTTTTTTATTTATAAGTTGTTGTCAGAATAAAGTCAAAGGCAATGTCTGTCGGGTCCACTAGTAATTTATAAAATTTGCTCAAACCATTGATTAATACTTTACCTTTTTAGAAAAAATTTTGCGATCTTTGTATATTTCCTCCACAGTCATTGATCCCATAATAGCTCGCTGGTGACCTTCTAGGGTGACAAGTGCTATATGTTGAATCTCCTGTTCTGATTTGCCAAGAAACTGCTCACATGCTGAAAGCAGCATCTCCGCATTTTGACCCTGGATCTTCACCTGTAATGTTAATGGTACCATGTTCAAACTGACTTACTAGTAAAAATGAAGAATATATTAACAATATTAAATAAACATTACAGTATTGATGTTCTTTGTATCATTGGTATTGATATTATGACTTTTAGATATAATTTTGTATTAATTATACTATGGAGATATTCATATAATGATTTTTATCAATAACACCTTTGTTCGTAGTGGTTTAGACAAGTACAAGCACTGTGTGGAACCCATCATACACATACCCTAGGAAAACTACTCAATATACAGTGACAAGCTAAATCAATTTAAAATGAAGCGAATTGTCAAGCGAAGATGCATATTATACAACCTGTTCTTATACTAAATTATTAACGATGATATTGGATATTAGATTTTCCTGTACTTTGTCACATATTAATTTAGCCCCTAGATCAAAACAAAACAAAGTTAAAAAAAAATTGTAACAACAGTACAACGAAACTGTCCAATAACTCATCACTCAACCAATTGTTAAAATTATATTATACTAGCGACCCTCCCCAGCCCACAGGTGCAATAATACATAATTATGAACCTTCCTCTTGAATCACTCTATCTAGTAAAAAAACTGCATCAAGATCCGTTGTGTACTTTTTAAGATTTAAGCATACATAGGGACAGACAGATAGCGGAACGACTTTGTTTTATACTATGTAGTGATGCACAGCAAAGAGACGTTTACATTTCAAGTGACATTTTACCACAGTCACTCACTTGATTTGCCCTCCCGGAACTCCTCCACTAACACTTAAACTTTATGGTATGGTATTAAAGTTCAAATTGACTTTTAAGTATTATTACGAATCTTTTGTATGGGAATATAGAAAAGTGTTGTTTATAGACTTTTCCACGCAATTTTAAAATTTTTTTCTTTCATAAGAACCTTCTCCTGAATATAACAAACACAACAAAAAACGTGAAGTTCACGCGTGATGGCGTGACCAAGGGAAATAGGGATTCATTTTTATATATCTAAGATAGATTAAAAATAACTTAAAGAAACAATAGAAATAATACATAGTTAATAGAATAAATATGGATCTCAATAATGACTTAAAACAATTATGAATTTAAAAAAATATTCAATTAAAGTTTCAAAATATCATTATTTCTCTTTTTAAATATACTTCTTTGAAAACACTCTTTTTGGTAAAATAATTAATGAATGTAACTCAAATACCTGTGCAATTCCGGTTACTGAGATTGGTACACCTTGGCTTGTGTAGACAGTTGGTGATTCCACTTGTAGTGTCATTGTGTTAAGTGATATTTTTTGAACACGCTGGATGGCAGGCCAAACAAATGCTCGGCCGCCAGGAACTAGTAGCGGCTTGGAATAACAGCACCCTATTAACATTTCATGTAACATTACTTGTTCTATACATTAAACAATAAAACAGTAATTTTTATTTAAAACAATAATATGGTCAATATTGCGGAATGGTAAAAACAAAACAAATTTGTTGGACAGAGGAAATACATTGAACAGTATACATAGTCCATGTAACGTCACTGAAGGGACTGTGCACTTCAAAGGTCCTTTTTATTACTCGATTGTTGTTGTTATAGATAGTGGGTGTAATGCTATATAAAGTGTATCATTGAATAGAAGACAAGCTAAACCAACCAAAGCCAAGTGATTTCGATGCTTTAGGGAGTTTGTCGTTAAATCAAGTGATGTTACATGGAGTTTAACACTATATAATAAATTGTTATATATTGAATAACATGTTACCATGTTAACTACATGTTCTGTTTTAAAGAATGCATGGTATTGATAGTTTACAAAACAAGTCTGTAATTTTTGAGTATTGTTCACTTTAAACCATCTTCAGTTAACCAAAGAACCCGCAGCAGAATGAAAACGTAATGTAAAATTTAAAAAAGTAATGAGCGCAAATCAGCAATGCATAGTACCTCATAGATGAATTAGAACTGTCAATTAAATGGGGAAAACGAATTAGTCACCAAAACAAATTTTCTTTCGCATCGCGAATAATTAATATGAAATCCGCTGCAGTCGACATAAACAATAAAACATGAAAATATTTTAAAATAAGTAATCGCTGGATGTATGAAATTTTAATTGTTAAACGCCCAGCACGAAAACAAACTAATTTAGGCGGTATTTTATAACTTACCAGAAACAACGAGAGCCTCATTTGGGCCACACGTAACAAATCCCCAAGTCATCTTTGGATGTTCGAATAAAAGAGCTGCGTTTTATTAAAAAGTCTGAAAATGAAAGAAACTATAAAACACTCGAAACCAAAACACAAATCGGCTTCCCAAATACGGAAAATGGACCGATAGCCACAGATGTTACATTAATCATTAACTTTTAATATTAAACTTGATAATGATATAAATTATCTGTGGCAAGCAAATTCATTTGTTATATATGTTGCATGTTGCTCATATTTTAAATTTAATTAACTAGGACAACATGCTTAAAAGCTTCATATTAACAACCTAAATATTATCCATATGACCTTGAAAATACATGACGATAATGAAGTATGACATTTGATTTGTTAAATAATCAATGTAATATTTAAAGTTTACATAACATTTTGATAATAGGTATATTTATAATTGAAATCAATAATTCTGATTCACGAATTTTTTTGTTATTTCATCTTAGATGACATTTGCCTATGGTAATAAAAAAAAGATATTTTCCACAGAATCAAATGTTAAGTCAAATGACGTTGACAATTGACGTTAAGTTGGCTTAAAATTAAGTTGACATTAAGGTGATTCTGCTTGTCAAAGTGTTGATGTAAACACGTAATTGAGTGATCTTATATCTGAATCCTACTTTTTTGTGTTGAAATCCTGAATTTATCTGTTTTGTGAGGTTTTTGTGTGAATTGGCAAGTCTATTAACATTTAGACCCGCCTTTTCTTCTTTATGAAGAGCATGGATGAAGACAAGCCTCCGGATGGAGGTGGCGTCCTTCCTTCTGATATTTCGTTGGATAGCTCGTCCTCATCCACATCTACATTTAAAACTAATTTGTCAGCTAATAACTTCATGTCTCATGACTGTCTGTCTACAAATAATTTTAAAGCAGTTATCCCTAGATTTAACATTACCCGCATGGGTGTTGTTAGAAGCATTCCCACTGATTGGACATTAGAAGAGTTAATTGAAAATATTAAAACTCCCTCCAATTGTGGGGAAGTTATTAGAGCTCGTCGTCTCAATACTAAAATCTGAGGAGATGATAAAGTCACATGGGTCCCTTCAAGTACCGTAGTTCTCACCTTTTCGGGCCAATCTCTTCCAGAGAGAGTATTTTGTTTCCACTCTGCTCTTCCAGTCTCCACTTATCAACTGCCAACAATTCAATGTAGGAATTGTTGTAGATTTGACCACATTTTATCACAGTGCCGATCTCAGCCGAGATGTTAACGTTGCGGTCAGGGTCATAATGGGGATAGCTTTCATGATTCTAATAATGAAGTTTGTGTTTTGTGTAGTGGTAATCATAGAGCTACTGATGACAAATGCCCAGAACATGCAAGGCAAAAGTCTATTAAAATGATCATGTCTCAGGAAAATATTAGCTATTCTGAAGCAGCTCTTCGATTTCCCCTCGCAAAAAGATCCTACACGGAGGTGGTCAATTCCACCCCTCCTCCCATTTTACATCCTACCAATATTCCACAATCCCATCATATCCCCCGTTCCTCTTGTTCAACTATTCCATCTAATATTCAGGCATCTTATTCCAAAACTATTTTCAAATCTCCTCGTCCCAAAGCTCCTCTCGGTAAATCCTATGAAGTTCTATCTCATAGAAATATAATTAGTTCTCCCCCATCTACTCAACCTAATGGTTGTGCTCTATCATCTTCAGAGTCTACCCCTTTGCTTACCCCCAGTGATAATCTAATTGAATTTCTCATCTGCTCCCTTATAAATATGATTTCAAAGTTCTCAGACTCCCTACCGAACAATGTCGTTACTATTCTACAACAATTTCTCGATACATTAATTTCTAAAAATGGCGACTATAATTCAATGGAATTGTAGAAGTGCTCGCCATAAGAAATCAGAACTCATTTATTTAATAAATCGCTTCAAACCCGTGGTCCTCGCCATCTCGGAGACATGGTTAAAACCGGGGTCTGTTTTCAGGCTGTCGGGGTATTCATGTTTTCGCGATGACAGGGATGACGGAAAAGCAGGTTGTGCCCTTCTTGTGTCAAGATCCATCTGCTTCTCCTAGATCCTTATCCCTCCCCATAGCTGTAATTTGCACATAGTGGCGATTAAAGCTAAAAATATTACATTCATATCATGTTACATCCCTCATCCCAATAGTTCGGTGATTTCTGAACTAAACTTCATTCTCCCTTCTATTTCTGGTCCCCTCATAGTTTCTGGCGACTTTAACTGTCACCACCCTATTTGGGGCTCAAACCATTCAGATTCTTCCTCTTCTTTCTTCCTTGACCTGTTAGATAACAACAATTTGTGCACTCTAAATGATGGATCTGCAACTCGAAGGACTCCTCCTGGTCAAAATGTGAATGCTCCTGATTTAACTCTTTCATCTCCCTCTCTAATAAACTCTATCTCTTAGACAGTACTTCATAACTCATATGGCATTGATCATTTTCCTATATTAATAAGACTCCTACAATTTTCTCCTCCCACTCCTAAGACTGGGATAAGTATTCTGAAACTTTTGACTCCAAAATTAGCCTCCTTCCTCCTGCCAATCCTGATAACTTCCTATCTTTATACAATAATTATGTCGCTTGTATCATTACAGCAGCAGAAGATTCCATACCCCTCAAAAACGCTTCCTGTGGTCGTATCCCCTCTCCCCCATGATGGGATCCGGAGTGTTCTACTTCGGTTCGACTTAGAAATCAAGCTGAGAAGGCTTATGCGGAAGATTTGACTATGGAGAACTTTCTTCTCTTTCGCAAGGTCTGTGCCAAAGCAAAAAGAATTTTGGCAAGAAAGTAGTCTCAGGGGTGGCTTAGATTTTGCGAATCGTTATCCCCCCGTTCCTCTATGACTGTATTATGGCGCAAAATTTCAAATTTTCGTGGTGTTTTCGCTGACCGAAACATCGGTCCCAGTGATTCTTCCGTTTGGCTAAACGATTTTATCGAAAAGTTAGCTCCTCCATTTATTCCTTCTCATGATTGCTTTCCTCTCCCTCCTTCTCTTTCCCCTCCCTCCTTCTCTTTCTCCTCCATTCGAGAGAATGGATCACCCTTTTTCCTATTCTGAGTTCTGCTGTGCCCTTGATAATCTTCGAGATTCTTCTCCAGGCGTTGACGGTATATCTTATTCTTTTATAATAAAATCTTCAAGTTCGTCAAAATTATTTTTCCTTAATATTATAAACGAAATTTTTTCTTCTGGATGCATTCCAGAGTCATGGAAGACTCAAATTATTATTCCAGTTTTAAAACCCAATAAAGACTCTAGTGACTATCATCATATCGGCCTATTGCCTTATCATCTGTTAAATCGTAGAGACTAAACTTATCAAAAATAGATTAGAGTGGATCCTTGAGAATAAAGGTCTGCTCTCAAATAATCAATTTGGTTTCAGACGTGGTATGAGTACTATGGATAGTCTTGGCATCCTATCAACTCATATTAGACTTGCATTTTCTTGTAATAAGCATGTTATTGGGGTCTTCCCTGACATCTCGTCTGCTTATGATAATGTAAAGCTTCCAATACTTAGGCAGAAAATGCTCACACTGAATATCCCTATGAGGCTGATTAACATTATCTTTAATTTACTTACATGTCGTTCTATCCGTGCCCGCTATCAGGGCTCTCTTCTTTCTTCCCGTCTCGTTTGGAAGGGTCTCCCTCAAGGCTCAGTCCTAAGTCCCCTCCTATACAATCTCTATACTGCTGATCTTGACTTATCTGTCTACAGCTTCTGCAAAATCCTACAATATGCAGATGATATAGCCTTGTATACAACTTGCTCCTCCCTGTTTAATGGATGTTCTCAAGTAACTACCGCCTCAGGTTATCTAAATGATTGGCTTAAAGATCACGGTCTAAGTCTGTCTATTCCTAAATCCTATGCAGTTATTTTTAGTCGAAAACGGAATATTCCCCTCTTGCATTTATCTGTAGATGGTGAACCAATTTTATTTAAGAGCCAGGCAAAGTTTTTGGGAGTCATCCTTGATTCCAACATGACTGGTATTCCTCATTTACAGTATATATATTCTAAGTGTGAGAAAAACACCAATGTTCTCAGAGCCTTATCGGGAGTTCGTTGGGGCTCTCATCCTTTCGTCCAAAAAATTCTCTACAATGCGATTATTCGTAGCCACTTTGTTTACGGCTGTTTCATTTTGGAGCCTTGCAGTAAGCTGGCTCTTGGTAAACTTGACAAAATCCAGTCTAAGTGCCTGCGTATAATTACTGGGGCTATGAAATCTTCTGCTATTAATGCCCTCCAAGTGGAGTGCGTGGAACCTCCTTTAAACTTCCGTAGACAGTTTCTTGCTGATAGATTTTTCTCCAAAGCTATTCTCATCCCATTTTAAAACCCTTAAGTCTCCTTTCTCGCTCCATTAACTTGTCGCCTTATTGGTCAAACAAATCCCATCCTTTATTAGTAAATAGTTATAATAGATATAATTCCTCTCATTTCTCTGTTCTCTGCTTAGAAAACCACTCTCTTTTTACAATCACTTATGATGCTTTAATTTTTAATCCTAATATTATTTTAAACTGTGGCATCGACAAGAATACCTTAGATGCTACCCGGAAATTTAACATGCTTGTGAGGAATGAATGGGCGAACTGGGTTCTGATATTCACAGATGCATCAAAAACAGGCTCGTCCCTTATTGGTGCGTCCGTTTATATACCAAAGTACAGTGTATTTTTGAGTTTTAAATGTCCTTCAGAATGTTAAATTTTTACAGGTGAATCATTACCCATTTTAGAAGCAGTTAAGTATATAGATTCTAACCAATCCCATTTTCGTAAGACTTTGATCCTCAGTGACTCCCGTAGTTGTCTGGAGGATTTAAAGAAACTTCCCTTCCACTGTAAACGCCACTCCTCAATTATTCTTAATATAAAAGAAACATTATTTAAGTTACAAAGAGAGGGTATTGAAACTGTCTTAGCCTGGATTCCAGGCCACGTGGGTATTCTGGGTAATGTAGCGGCTGATTATTATGCTAAACAAGCTATTTCGATAGGCGACCCATGTCACTAACATCCCAGCTCGCGATCTGTGCTCTATGGCCAAACCTCACTTAATGGAAACTTGGGATAATTTGTGGCAACAAACTGTGAAAGGGAGATACTATGCCAGTATCCAGCCTAATATCCCATCAAAGCCTTGGTTTTCCAAATACAAATCTTTTAGTAAATTAATTACTTCTGTAATAATTCGCTTGCGTCTAGGGCATGTTTGCTCCCCAGTGTTTCTAGCTAAACTGCGCATACTGGACCACTCTCTTTGTCAGTGCGGCTTAGCAGAGGGTACTCTGGAACACATGTTTTTTTCATGTCCAAATCGATATATACGATATCCTTCCCTTAAAGTTCCCCAGACCTGTTAATATCCCATTCCTTTTAACTCTTAATGACCTCCACGTTGTCAAAGTACTACATAAATTCCTTTGTATTAATAATATAAAGCTTTAATATTTCCATTTCTCCTCCTTGTAATTGTTTGTGTCGCCTTTATCATTTTAGTCATCCTTACTTATTTTTATTCATCTTCTAACAAATTGTTTAGTTTCTATTCAGGTATCTCAACCAATAAAGTATGATGTTCTAAATACCGTACAAAAGTCATCTCTATAAGAAATTTCATCAATAACAGCTTGTTTTATTCAACCTTGACATTGGCAGAATCATCAAGCTATCCTTGACGGAGCCACTATAATAATAAAAAAAAAGTTGACATAAGGCCAGTCTGTCGAAACTAAGAATAAAAAATTTTTCTTTGGACTTTACGCGGCAAATAATGGCGAACATTGCTATCACTCTCCCTCGATGCGGTTTCTCTTTCTTGGAATACAGGAAGTGCTATGCTGTTTGTCAAAACTTAATTTCGCATCGCGTATTTTCAATAAAAATGCTTATTTTATTGTAAATTTAAATTGTTTAGAGTAAACTTTCTCACAAAAAGTAGTGACAGGTGATCAGAGTTGTACTTTTAATTCAAAATGCCTAAAAGACGATTTATTACCTGAGAAATTGGTGAAAATCGAGCAAGTCATTCGAATCTTGAAAAAAGGATGTTTATGGCGAGATTTCCCTTAGATGAAGGCCATGTAAGCACTTAAATATGATACTTTGCAGCCATATGTAAGTAGAGCAGGCTAAGAACAAATAAAATTAACAAATTTATCTCATTTAAATTGTGTGTTAGTAATGTACTCCAACTGTAATATCCACATATCGATAACTACGTTAATGTTTATCATTAAAAAAAAATAAGAAATATAATGTTGCGTGAAAGAGTAGGGGCACAAAGTTATACATATTTGAATGGTGTGCCTACATAAATGAGCAAGGATCGGAATAGGTGAATTTTTCAGGATTTTGAAACACAATCTCTGTAATATTGATACGTCATATAATTAATTTCGTGCGCTGAGTATGCAAGAAAACTAAAATAATTTTTGGATTTTGATTATATTTTTATGTTTCAATTATTTCCAGACTCGTGTACAGTAGGACAACAGCTGTTGGCTGAAGAATCAAGAAACAAATTTCATTTCAGTAATAAAATTTTATTTTAATTAACAGAAACCGTTTTTTATCTTATTTCGGCTCCGTATTCAAGTCCAATCTTCTACCAAATATCCCCTCATCAACAATGGACATAAATACGGACTCGATACTTACCTACTAAAATTAATAAAAAAATATTAAGTGGAAACCTCGGTTTCTACCTAGTATCTTTTACCGATATCGATAAGAAGCTAAGCTAGCTTCGTTAAGCACTATTTGGCTCATTACGTTGGTACTCATGTTGTTTGACATTTTTGTGGTATGGTTAGTATTGGAGTGCCGCGTAAACTGATATTTTTGGCTAGTAGGAAAGTCCCGTCTCTTAAACGTAGTGATTAAATTCTCTTTGATTAAGGCGAGCGACTGCAAAAACCAATCATAACTTCTGTACGCCCGTAAGAAGTTATACTTCTTTAGAGTAAAGACATTCAATTTAAATATAATTGATAACAGTGTATTTAAATAATTTGGTATTATTGATAAATGTCAAAAAGTTGTTATAGGTTGCCAATGGGTTGTGGGTAATTAATAGTGGATTACTACAGCCCTGCTAGGCTCTTACAACTACAAAAAGCCAGAGATGAGATAACCTGCCAATTTGGAATAATTTACATAATAAACTAACAATTAAATACCGATGATATTTTTTTTTCATACGTATTTCAGTTTATATTTAATACAAAGTACAGAAAGAACGTCATTAATTGCATTAATAGCTTTTTTGTGCTTAGTCAATTAGCGAGACAAGGTCGGCCAGAAACTTATACAGGTCTATTTGTAACGGGTTCAATGTGGTTGTGAAAAAAAATTGGATATTTGACTTTTGTCCAAGGGATTGGCTGGCTGGGTGATTCGCCCTAAATTACTATCCTTCCTGGCTTACGAGTGTCGGTGAAGTACGTATTGGCCAAGAGCGCGCCGAGTAAAGTAAATCTCTAAGTCTCTCTTTCTTTTCGGGATTGACTTCAATTCTACATTTGCTAAATCAGCCACCAAGGCGATCGATGGCGCTGTGGAGGCAGGAAGTAATATAGGCTACTACATTGTTCGTGTAGAATAGTGCCATTTCTTCAGCGAAAAGTTTAAATTCAAGCGGGTCTTTGAGGATGTCACTTGTATAAAGATTGTTGAAAATTGTTGAGAGTACACACATCACACTCGTTGACACACAATTGCGCCTATCGATACCGAGTAGAAGGCACGCTCTACGAACCACAGTCTCACGGCGGGCGTTCCTCAAGGCTCCCGCCTCTTCCCTTGATTTTACGCTCTACACGATATAGACGAAGACCGCACGTATATCTCTCGATTTTCAAGGATGACACGGCGCTCTTTAATACCGACAGAAATCTAGAACCGGCCGCCCGCCGGACGCCTCGGTGATTGGTTTCGCAAAGCATAGACGTAAATCCAGATAAGAGTGTAACGATTCACTTCACACGTAGAATCCCGAACCCCCACCACCCACACTGTTCCCGTCCGTTCAGAAAGTTGTGGTGAATATTCCTCTATGGCGTACCGCTCTTCTGGGAGGAAAAGGTCAAATATTTAGGAGTCACTTTAGACATACGCATGACTTTCACAACGCATATTAACTAATAATTCAAAACAGAGCTGCGATCGTCTCCGGCCAAATTACAAGTATATAAAGCATGCGTACGGCCAATTATGTCCTACGCATGCATGACTTTCGCCCAGATAAGCCCTTCTCCAAAATAAGTTAATCCGCCGATGCGGTGTTATCAACGCAACGTCGACCTGCACAGTGACGGCAGACTCCCGATGATTCGCGAACATTTTAAAGTCCACACCAAACAGTTCTTCGATAGAGTCGAACATCATCCCAACCCTCTGGTGGTGAGCGCAGTAAATTACCAATCCAACACTAACGCGAACGTAAACAAGCGTCACCCGCGCAACGTCCCCGTCGACCCTTGCGAGGAAGGGGACTTAGTACGTCGGACCCACCGTCGGGGGTCCCGCCAGATAACACAACACAAACAGTTATTGCGACAGCAAACGGCATAGTTCGTCTTCGCCTTCGTACACGGCGAAATTAACACAACGCATACCCTAGGTACACCCGCGTTCCGCGCGCTATACATAGTTTTGATCAATACAACGCGAATATTTGGCAAAATATAGAGAGCTGTAATGTTCTTTACTCTAGTGCTCAATTTCACCCAATTTGTATTCGTAGAATTTGGTATAATTTTAGTCCTACAAAGTTTTACATCTAAATTTATCCGACATAAACAGAATAAACACGTAAGGTTAAGTTTGCTATGCAGTGTCCATTTGGAAGTCTGGAACTGAATACCGCTGCGTAACCGACAAGCTACTCTTTATGGAGCGGGGCTTTGTTGTTGTGGTTTCAGAACGGTGAGCACTATAGCTTGCATCTCCCTGGCTCAGCTTACACCTCTACCTGCCAAAATTAAAGAGGTGGCTGACAACGAACGGACGAGATTCACAGACACAACATGTTACCTTCCGAACGACATCACCCTTGATATACCTGCCAAACCCAAAGAACTTCTTCATCCCTCCCTTCGTATCTCCATCGAATTCACTGAATACACACTCACCTCTGACTTGTCCATTATAAAACCCGAATACTTTAATATATACACCGAAGGTAGTAAGCGTGATGATAAAGTAGGCGCTGCGGTAGTTATCTTCCAGCCAAATGGTCGAACTTTGACCCACAATTACAAACTTCATAACTCATGCTCGGTCTTTCAGGCCGAATTACTTGCCATCTCCAAACCATGGTCGTGGGTCAAGGATCAACGCATCCCAGCTACTCATATCCACTTAGATAGTAAATCTGGCCTCCAAGAAATCTCTAACCCAAACAGCCACAACGCCCTTGTAGTATCTATCCATAACATTCTTAATCAATGCCATCTTTTCAACCTATCCATCACCTTCTCTTGGATAAAGAGACATTTGGGTATTCCTGGGAATGAGCAAGCTGATGCCGCAAGAGCGCAGCTCTGTGTCACAAAGCATGGGACTTCTCGAGTTTCCCATTAAGCTAGGTCCGTTTCTTCAACCGTGAAAGGGCGTCAAAAGAGGCTAAAGATTTTTATGAACAAGCAGGAAAATATGACTATACGAAAACTCTCTGCCCCTCCTATGAGGATCTTCAATCTGTCCTAAAAGTGCTGAAACCTAACTTTCCCGTAACCCAATTTCTTACAAACCATGGATAGGAGTACCTCACCCGTTTTAAAATAATCACAAACGATAAATGCCCATGTGATGATACCACCTCCCAAACCTTCCAACACCTCATCCGATTCTGCCCCATATTTTCCAACACTAGGACAGATCATGAAATATCATGTCAAAACTTTAACCTGGACTCTTACACCGTACTAGATATGGTAAGAAAAGAAAGCACGGGACACGTTTAACCGTCACTTTAATAAAATTGTATATAGACTAAAAAAGGTAAGCCAGACCTAAACCTTATTATTAAGTACCTCAGCATTTTACACATATACCTATACGTAATTTATATTCTGTCCTTTATTCCCCATGTTAAAAAAAAGTTTAATACCTTATTTCTACATCTTCTTTTACATTCTACAGTCTCTATATGTAAGGAGGTATAACTTCGTATAACAACGTATACACTTTGTTTTAAACAATTAACGATGTATAATCATCTTTCTGATAACCAAAATTCCACAAGGGAGTGTATATCGTTAGCACTCTCCTTTCGGAAATTAAAGTAATCTTAATTAAAAAAAACACGCATCAAGACGGGTTAGATTAATTTTTTCCTAGATTTTATTTACAAAATTAAATTTATAACAGAATTATATAAAAAGCAAATTACAAATGAATGTAAAAGGAAGTACATTGTTGTATTATTTTGTTAATCTTCATTTTCGATGTTAGTCTGCAATATTTAAAATTTCGTATTTAGCCTCACCATCGCTATAAAAAGTAAAAGATGAACAAACATACATAAGTTTACTAGGGACCAGAACAAAACATATAACACGGGATAAGAAACCGAACAACATATGGTTACTTATTTTACTCACTCAGCGAACATTCACTTCTTTACCGTTGTTTTGCTTATTTTGAAAAATAAAAGTGAGCTAATTACGTGCTGCACGGTAAGCCATTGAAACCAAACTCGGCGGTCTATTTCTTTTTATTTTAGCACAGTAAGCAAGTTCATACAACATTTTTAGGGTTCCATACCTAACCAATAGTAGTATTTCTTTATTCTATGCTCACCAAGCTGTATCTCATGACCCGTGATAGTTAGACAGTTGAAATTTTCACAGATGATGTATTTCTGTTGCCGCTACAACATCAAATAGCATCCTAATAAATAACAGAATAAAAAAAATATTAAAGTGGGTCTCCTATACACGTACGGAACCCCTCGTGCGCGAATCCGACTTGTAATTGGCTGGTTTTTTTTAAATTAATTCCTAGCACGCTTTCTAGTTGAAATTAAAAAAACAAAACAAGTTTTTAAGTTATCGTCAAAAATATTTACAACGCTAATCTTGAGGTGTAACAAACAAAACATTATTTTATGTCTGTGTTATTTATAAATTAGAAGCAAAGTTCACAAACTTTTTACTACTCTTCGAAAGTTAAGAACGTGAACGTAATTCTTACTTTTATATTATTCCTTCAAGTAAAAAACTTTGATAAGAAACAACTTATTTCTCATTATCTTTATGTGTAAAGCATAATTTGTGTAAAGAACTGAATCAGTTATTACATCTCATTTCCATCAGATAATGTTTTTGCTTTTAGCTTTATGGATTCTGACTCGTTTGCCCTGCAGTTTATCACCTCGGCTTTTAATAGTAGCGTATGAAGCGTCTTTTAGTTCGGCGCTATTTCCTTAAGCGATATGGCCAGTACGGTACCGCACTAGAAACCTCTTATTTCAATGGTTAGCTGATTATTCTTGTCAACGCAATTCTGTGCATCTCTCTTCGTGTGGATAGAGGGTTCTTAATGCTAGTATCGTGGAGTACGTACTTAACACTAGCTTTATTCAATCTGCCATTGCTTCGAGCCGTTATAGCTTAGGGTCCAGATCTTCGCTTTTAATTCAATATACTCGAGTAACTTGAGTTCGATCCCCGGTACCGGCTCCAATGAAATTGTTAATTTTAAGCTTAAAATTGTAAGACCTGCAATCCACTATCTGACGAGAATTCCTACGAATGCGATCTACTATAGAAGATAAAGAGAAGAAAACCATAAAGAAACGCCAAGGACAGAAAATGCACGGAGAATTTTCAATTTATGAAACTGCATGAAGAGGATGTTAGAACTTTTATTTCATATTTCTATTTGACTAAAGTAATCAGTTAATAAATATAACGTAAATAAAACAACTGGAACCATTTTATCGACAAAATTCCCGAAATGTGTAAAGGCGATAATAAAATAAGCGAAATTCGCAAATTGGAATAAATCTGCAGGCACTGTAGGAAAATTGTCCAATATGTGAATGTCGGTTTTAACTTAATTACACAAAGCCTGGTGCTCGCTGAATGCGTCGGCTCTTTTCAACTTTTTAAATCTGACTTTAGTTCCGCACATTTTAATTTCGCTTTTCAGTTTTTTCAGTTTTTTAGAGAATCAAAATTCAGTTGCATATATACGCAGTGATCTAACAAACCAATTATTTAGTTAGTGTTTTAGCATAAATTCGATTAAATCTTGTCTAGACGTTCATAATAGATTGCTCATTTGTGTCCGCCGAAAAGAACCTACAATATCCAAAGTATGTCTAATAACTTCCGTCTAAAATATTAACAGTTTATTTAAAACAGTTTTGCTCAGATTTTTTTTTGTTATTCGTGTGTTATGGAAATTACATTTCGATATAAATGTTTTCGATATTCCCGACATAATACGATACTATGAACTGGTTATATAAAATAAACGATGAGTAAGTACATTTGGTTTAAAATTTATTTTATTAGAAACAAGTACTTACTTTTTTACAATTTATCAACAAATTTTTAACATCACAATTTTATTATGAAATCGGGTCTTAAACTTTTAAGCTAAGTGCTTAAAAGCCTCCTTAGTTTAAGACCCGATTCCGGCTTTTTTTTTCTAAGTGTATCCATTTTTTTTATTAAATTCTAGACTAGGACGTCAAGGAATACTTAGGAGATTTTGCCGATGGAGTTTCAGTTCGAATTTATCCCACTGTCAGACAGGTAGACGCTTACAATGTACACATGATAGCTGAGAACGCGAAAACAGCGTATTCATTGTGTAAATGCGCTGTTTTCGTGTTTTCAGCAATACTGAATACATCTGCTTAACCTTTTCGAGTGTACAGACCTGATGTTATGTTGAGCAATCGCTCAAAACAATGCATATATGATAGCAGCAATCACGATTTATTTTCTGTCATTTTTGAAAAGTTCCGATGTCTATACCTGTAACTCATCATTAGACCTATAATTCTAAATGAAATTTAAATGGGAACTGTTATCATACCATATCATACCGTACGAAAAAAAAAACATTTATAACCGCCTCCTTTTCGAAGTTGGTTAAAAATATATTCGTGATTGGAACCCAATTTTCGAATATCTATAATGGATTTTGTAATTACCACGAGTTTGTCTGAACATCTGCAAAACCGCCGGGACTAATGGAAAATTTTCGCTCTTCGGGCGGAATCCTTCAGTCTCATAAGATCGGGGAATATTGCAGTGCTCGAAATAAACTCGAGAGTCTTATTGAGTATTATTCCTCATTATGAAAAGGTCATTCATTATTTTACTAGGGCTCACTGTTATGTGTGAGTTTAAGCTATATTGTTAGTGAAACATCTCTTGGCCCAGATGTTTCTACCAACTCTAAGTAATTTCTGCTCGTTAGGTTTAGTAATTTAAGTACTATAGTGCCTGTTAGTTTTAGTAATTTAAGTACTATAGTGTCTAACCGGATTTATAGTTAGTAATCCGTTATGCGGACCGGAATATCGCCATGGTAAAGCGACAAACAAATAAAGGAACGCGGCGAAATCCACATTGCAGGACACTGAATGTAAGTGGGCCAATCGTTACGGCCACCGTCTCGAGCGGATTAGTCATGCATTTCGATATTGTTCACCGCATTACCGCGCCTTTAGCAGCTGTTGAGCGTTTGGTTCGTTCTACCACAGGAAATGTTGAGGAATTATGTCGTATTCTTAGTGAAATCTATGTGGATAGCTATACAATTATCGTTGCACATATGTTGTGCGCACCGATGTTTCTCGTATTTAGTTCTTTAGTCTTCTATATTTCTTAAGTTCCGTTCGGTTTTATTCTCTGTTCCATTATGTTGCTTTGATTATTATGCATACATTATTTAATATGCGTGTAACTGACTGAGCTTACTAAATTAATAAAAGTCTCAAAATGACCTTGATTATTTTTGATTATATCATAACATTTAATAAAGAATTTTTGCTTTGACTCGCGATAGAATTGACAGATTTAGTACTTATTTTTATTAATGTTCTGTCGGAGGCAAAGATGAAGGAAAATTTCGCAGTTTCAATGATAGGCGTTTAACTTCGTGTACCTAAGGTAACCAACCATACGAGAGATATAGGAAGTTACTAAAATTACGGATCTATCCCTATTTCCTTTTAAATTAAATTAACCAATACTGTGCAGACTGAACGTTTGCTTAGAATTTTTTTTTCTGGAGCATGAAATAGTATCCCTTGGCAGAGAAGCGAGACGGGCTTGTTAGCGAGTACTCATTGACATATCCGAGAGTTCCTTGGTGGTGGAAGTGTTTTATTATCGGGCACGGGATGTTATTCCGCCGAGAGCGCTCGACAATTATCAAGCGCGCGAATCGATGTAGGCCGCTGGCGTGGGGCGCCAAGACGTGGGGGGCCCGGTGGCGCGGGGGCGAGCGCCCCGGCATGGCACCGCGCAACTCGCCGCCCGTATCGACCGCCCCGGATGTGCATTGCGATGCCGCGGGAGAGATCAGGCGGCCCACCTAAACGCGGAACTCGCGCTACTAGGCGACGGGGCCAAGCTTAGATAGAGGCCGGCCGCTCGCCACCCGGTATCGCGTTTACGCTCCGCCGTCGTGTCGTACATCGCTTCGCCGTCGTCCCCTCCCCCACCCCTCGCGCCCCAACGGGTGAATTCCGGAATTAGCCCGCAATGAGCGCCACTGAATCCGCATTTAGAGCCGCACTTATGCCAAATACCACGCTTTTTTTCAACTCTTTCATCAACGTAACACATTCTCTTATATTACCGCGATATATACGAGTAGATAATGGCAACGTTCAATTAGGTAAATGTTTTTAACATAAAATGAAAAAAAAAAACTTGGCATTATGATGTGACAAAACATGCTGCTTCATGAGGGAATGGCTAACATTGTTCTACAAATATCTTGTTGTAGTTTATCAAACTTAGTTTAATTTGTCACTGCTTCGTCCTGTGGTTATTTCTGGCACACTTTTATCAAGTACTAGTTGACTCGGCAAACGTTGTTTTGCCATATAAATTATTTCTAGCGGAATCGGAACGCGTTCAAAAATCGTTTGTCAGGTTGACAGATACAGTTTGTATGGGAAAATAAAATTGTTGCTATTTCGGTTTTCCATGCAATTTTTCTATAATTTCTCATAGTTTAAACCTTCCCTGGACTGCCACGAATATATTAAAACCAAAATTAGCCAAATCGGTCCACCCGAGACTAAAGAACAGCAATCAGCAAATTTTTATATATAACATTGATCGTCGCCTGCAAATTGCACAGAAATGTTATGCACCACATTCACCACAGTAGTTTTTAGAGTCGATATATTTGTACATTTTATTATTTCAGTTAATCTTGCTATCGACTTCATTTAGTTTATATTCTGCAATCCATCCAATTGACGCCGTTTTGTATAAAAAACATTTAGCTAACATATGTTGCGTTATTGTGGTCGTAGATGATATATTAGCTTTACACGTGCAAGTGCTGACGGAACAACAGGAGGGAGTAGCTATTTCCAACGGTTGCCGGTCAATGACACGACACCGGAATCAGAGTTCAACGATTAATAATTGGCAATAATTGGCATGATCCTCACACCAAATAGTCTGCTATTTCGGGATGTAGTTTCCTTACCGTTATTTATTATCAAAATAATATTTTATCGAGGCGAAGGCTTAGCATTGTTTGTTTGCATTGCTTACTTTGACGAGAGCCATGTTAGCAGTTATTTACCGCACGATAGTTTCGCTTCGTTCAAATCCCGAACGCAAACACTGTGAAACAATCTCCGATAAGGCAACTTTAAAACTCATAAGCTACGTACATCGGTCGCTACTCGCTCGCCATTGTGATACGCCACAGATCCGCATGCGAAAGGTTCAGTGGCACCAAAGCGCAGCGTGTCTCTGCCAAATTATATCCACTTCTCCGACCTACGCCAAGAGCCAGCAGGTTTCTAAACACTTGAGGTTTCCAAACGGTTGAGTCGACATCAACTATGTGACGGTAGTACGAAGTGTCATAATTTTATTTAAAATTATCATTAATTGAAATTAATGTAAAACAGTTTTTTTTTAGTTATCAATTCGTTTTTGCATAGTAATTAAACATAAAAAGAATATTTTATTTTTTGGCCCAGGGACCAAAGAATAGGGGGACATAGTGTTCAACATAGAGAACAATTCATAAATGGTTTCGGTACGCAGTGCGGACAAGCGAACAAGCGAACCTACATTCATATTTATTTATACAAAAGGACCAGAAGATAACGTTAAATCAATACAATTTTTATTTCACATCTAATAAATGTACCTATTTTTTGGAGCGAATACTATTTATGTAGTTGAACTTAGAGCTTGGAAAATAAAATTGCATCGGTGATCGATCTCTTTACTTTCGAGACGTTCTAAATTAAGATGAACGATATAACTTACATCGGATAGTTTTATATGAAAACAATATTTGAGATTTTAGTGATCTTCAACACATTGGGTTGAAGACCACTGGGCAAACAATGAGGTCCTTGTAATAAGAATTTGGCTCGATAAAAAGTCACCGGCCATTCCAAGAATACGTCGCATAAGAAAGGTCTTCTGAGAAGGAGCGAGCGGCGTCATCCATCTTTTTCTTTCTTATCATTTGTTTAACGATCCCAGCGAGTCTTGCAGGTTCCGCAAGCAATACATTACGTTGCTGATATTCTCGTTCCCGTGTGCAAATGTTATTATATGTTATAATTTTCCTTCTTTGAATAATGCTACCTAATTTATTATTCACATTATGATCGATTTTGCACTAAACCCAAAAATATGAGCGTTAGTGATAAGACGACAGTAGCGATAGTCAGATAGATAGGCTTACTGATAGGCAAGCATGCTTTTATGAGCGCTTTGATCCTATAAATGTTTCAGTTCCCAACATTTTGACCAAATATTTTATAGAAGCGACTAAGGGAATTTTTTTTATGGAGAAAAGGGGAAAACGAGCTGCAGGCTCACCGGATGGTAAGTGATTACCGCCGCCTATAAACACCTGCAACACCCGAGGGTTCAAAAATACGTTGCCGGCCTTTTAGGAAAGAGTATGCTCTCTTCTTGAAGGTTCCCAGGTCGTAACGGTTCGGAAAGATCGCCGGTGGCAGTTGGTTCCACAGAGTGGTTGTGCGAGACAATATTATAATTGTCCATATTTATGCAAAAAGGGACCATCGAGCAAACATGCACTTCTGAGATATTACAGGATTTACAAAAATATGTGCAGCTCTGTTACATGAAACAAAATTACTATTTATTTTATTTATTAATAAATTATCTTATTTAAGTAAGTGTTTAGGTATATAAATTTGCTCTGCACACCCTAAAATATTCTCTAAATAATATAATATAAAAATAATTAAATAAATAATTAAAAAATATGCATTTGGTTTCTTTGCACATTTACTGATTTATAGGTTTTCTCACATACAACAAAGAACCTCAACCCAGAGATTTACTGATATAAATGAAAACATGTATTTATATTATCGTAATAAAGATTTAATTAACTAAATATGTTAAATTATACGTATAGAGAGCGTTTATTCGACGTTATCATCAAATTGAACTTGGAAATCCACATCCAGTCCATCTATATAGACTTCTATTGTATTCTCAACGTCATAACTGAGACCATTATAAAAACTCTGCTATTTAGTGGAATGAGGTGTAATATGGACTGAACATCAGCTAGTTTCGCTGGTGATACTGGCTTCCTTGACGGCCACGAGGGAAGTAAATGTTTCGTCAACATTACAGCCGGTCACCGATCTCTTAAGGTAATCTTTTAAAATAAATTGAGTTTGTTGATTCTTTTTTCAGGTATGGTCTTGAGTTTATATCCGACTAGCGTAGACTAGGCTGAAGGCGTAACATTCAGACAGAAAGACAGATATACATAATATATGTATACAAATTATAGCCCATGTCTTATTCTGATGTAAAAGATATATTATTGTAAAGTTTCATTAAAATCCATTCAGTTGTATTTGCGTGAAAGAGTTACAAACATCCATCCATACATACAAAGTCTCGCCTTTATAATATTAGTTTATATGAAAGGTTGCCAATCGAGCAGACGGTTCACCTGATGTTAAGTGAATACCGCCGCCCATGGACATCTGCTACACCCGAGGGTTCTAGATACGTTGGCAACCTCGTTAAAATTGGGCTCCGGCCACCTCACTCACCAGGCGAAACGTGAAAGTATTATACTTCCACTTTACGCCAGTCGGTCTTCTGTGAGGTCGTGGTACTTACCCGGACGAGCCTGCCCATTCGTACAACAGCCGAGGCTGCTGTATAGCTAAAGTAGTAAGGATTAATACATTATTTATCAATATTACGTCTGTTACTAATACTTTTTCAACCTTATAAGTTTCCATGTGAGTTTTTGGCTTATGCCAAAATTAAAAAGTTATCAGTTATCAGTTACCTGTTACTGTAAGCGGGTGCTTTTTCTTGCAATCTTTCATTCACATAATCATCGGGAGTGTATAGTCCCGGATATTTCTTCATTGCCGTTTCAATGAGGGAAAAAAATTGTCCATCATTGGTAAGGTAGCATGTCCGATTATAAAAATTCTGTATTATTTATTTGAAAGTGAGATGAAGATGCAAAAATGCTTATAACATGAAAACTATATTTATGTTACGATTCTGTCCTCTACATGAATCGCTCCAAAAAATTAGATCCTCGAAATCTACGGAAATATTCTCGCATATATATTTTAATAAACAAGAACCAACTTCATAAGCACCTTTGGCAACCATTCTTTCTATCCAAAAAAACAACCCAGCCAAAGCTGTCGTTTATAGTAAGTAATGTTTTGGAGATCAAACTTGAGATTATTTTCTTACATTTAGTAGCAAGAATAAAGCCAGGTTTCGATTTTAAGCCTCTTTTCATTAAGCCTTGTTCCTCGCGTTCTGTATCTATGGCTGTTTTCCCGTCAGCAGGTTTGCAAGGAGTTAATTTCCGATCATAATGTGTCACACTTGTTTCAAGAATCTGTCTTAAAAGGTATTACTCCTCTAAGATTTAAATATGGGCCACGCATCAGTCTTCGCTGTTGCACGAATGGGTCGGTCCATCCGAGGAAGGGCCACGACCTCACAGACCGGCGTCAAGTGGAAGAATTATACTTCTGCGTTTCGTCTGGAGAGTATGTGCCCAGGGCCCACTTCAAGTAAAAATACATCTGCGACCCTACGGGTGTTGCAAATACCCATGGGTGGTGGATATCACTTATACCGCCTGCTTGCTTGCCATCTTCTTACACAAATTCATACATATTACATTCCTTACTGACCTTCTCAGCTCACAATTTAAATCGAAAATATCGTCCAAAGTCATGTCTGGCATAAGATATTTGGTCATGGGCTAACTTCTTTTATAGTGTGATTTATATTTAGGAAGATACTTTAGGCACCTGACGTATAAAACTATTTCGTCGCTACATTTATT